TGAGTGTATGAAATACTTAATGATTATGTCATCTATATTAGATAAAGTAGTTGACTTTTTTGCAACAAGCTGGCAGTGCCTGTTGTTAGTAGCTTCATTTTGGAACATTTTCTTTGATCAAACTGTGACTATGGACCTACATGAGCCCTAATTTTTAAGTTAAAAATGCACAAAAATATCAGATCTGTAAAAGCATAATGCCAATATGTAGTATGATAGATGGAGACAGAAATGATAAATAAATGATATTAGGACATGTTATGTTATGTCAATGTCAATGCCCCAGTTTGGCCACCCCAGTCAAAAAGTAGGTTCCTTGCTAACCACAAGCCCTAAACACATAAATAATTTCATGTAAGTGTTGGCAAGTAGAACATGTCCACAAATGATCATTCTTTCTATTTAAAATGCATCAGATTCAGACGATATTTCCAAAGAAGCACAGACTCCCCTGCTTTGAAAAGGACAAAGAAATGTCTGGACCCCGTGCTAGCTGAGACAAGTGAGCGAGAAAGCCCACCAGAGGTGATGCCGCAGAAAAGAAAGAGGGATGAAGCTGATGAATGCTTGACCTCAGATTGCATCTCCCCGGCAAAGAAAACGAGGAGTGTCAATCTCAACCAAGAGCTGATGGACAGTGTCAACAGTAAGTTCACCTATATATGGCAACACAAACACACTCTGTGGCTCACCTTATGGTCGGTCATTTCATGTCTGATTGTTTTGTTCTTTCAAATGTTACAGTGTTTAGTAATGACAAAAAATAACTGACCAATTCCCAGATTTTGTCATCCATATGTAAATATTTTTTACACATGGGATCAGATTTTTGAGATTCTGCTTGATGTACAATAAAAACTTTCTTTTTATTAGAATTTTTCAGCAGCACAGAGGTAGCCTGTCCAACCGTGACTCTGGTCGATCATCCTACGAAGAGGAAAAGGGATGATGATGACTCTTCAGACTCTGAAGAAGACAGAACCTCTCAAGTAAAGATGAGGAGAGCCAGTTTGGATGAGAACCTGCAGACTGATAATTAGTTTTAACTAGTTGTATTGTAACTGCAGTGCAAGATGGGCGAGCAGAGCTTTCATCTCTACTTTGTTCTATTCCCTTTCCCTGCTCCAAACCAATTGCCCCAAGAGGGATAATAAAGTTTGAATTGAGGAGCAATGAAAAGTGTGATCAGTAAACTTTCTTTTTGTGATTTAGTGCATTCAAAATAAAAATGGATTATTTTCGAGATAGGTTGCAAGATTTTTATTTGCTGTGCAATAAGATGTGTAAGATGGGCGAGTGCAAAAGCTCAAAATACAATTTTACTTCTTTCCAAAAAGATAAGGCAATTGTTGTGGATCAAGAATATACATTTAAAAATATATAAATAAAGGGCTTAGGGGTCTCAGTTGTGCCTTTATTGCCTTGAGCCCCTCAGGTGTAGGATCTCCACTGCTGTTGTGGCTCACAGTTTGGTTGCAACATTGCTGTCTGCCGCAGGGGGGCGCGGTTCCTCGCCAGGTGCGCTTTCCTCCCTCCCGCACCTTCCCATCTCAGCGCTGCTGTTGCTGCTGCTGCTGCTGCTGCTGCTGGCTCTGGTTTCTCCGTCGCCTCCTAGCCGTCGTACAGCCCTCCTCCTCCTCCTCTTCTTCTTCTTCGTTTTTTCTTCGCAGGAGGAGCTGACTTAATGCGCATAATAAATCATCTCTGCATGATTCCTTCTCAACCCCAATTTGAGCCTCGCGCGCGTTGGATAAGAGAGCGTAAACATAGGCGATAGTCGAGCCTCTTTAACTGGGGTGGGTTTCAAATGTGATTCAGCGCAGCAAACAACGTGGGTGTTGTGTGTGTGTGTGTATGTGTGTGTGTGTATGTGTGTGTATGTGTATGTGTGTGTGTGTTTTTTTGTTTTTTTTTTGGTGGGGAGTGGAGTAAAGGGAAGAGCAGCGATATGAGACGCGTGTGTTTATGCCTCCTGCGCTCCCCGTTATCTCTCACTTGACCGGCTCATTTTTTTTCACCTGTATGAACGACCTTGCGATTGTGACCGAAATTTTCCTAACAAGGTTTCCATGGAGGATCAATCTGTCGCTTTTTCCGCGAGGGCTGAATTTGGTAGCTGCTGGTCGCAAGATATCTCAAGATAAGAGGTAAGACAATCAAATAATGATGAGACAAATATTCAGCGATTGAGCGCGTGCACAAATACAGAAATCTACATTTTATACGCAGTGTTTAAAAAAAAATAAAAAATACATATATTTTTCACTTGTACCACCCTCACATGTCGGCCTGTCTTGCTACTATTCCGAATTGGCAGTTCTAAGTACAATGAATTTGATCTTTTTTTTTGTGTAAGGCTGGAGCAACGTGACGTGCCCTCCCAACTGCAGCCAATTCCTACACACCGAGTAGTCTCATTCTGGAGGGGTATGCACTCAGACACAGGCACACTTGATATATATATATATATATTTTTTTTTTAATGAAGGCTTGTTATGTAGCTCTTTATTTGTCAAACTGCTGCAGACCCGCTGTTACATTACTCACATGGTGGTGTTATAGCCTCTAAAAGCTCCTGCGGTTCCTACCTGGTGTGATGCACAACACCGCAACCTGGATTCACTTCACCTCACCCTCTAAAATGTGTTGCTACATGCACACACCAACACGTTTTACAGGGCCAAATCAGCCTTGGGTGGAGATTGCACTTGCAGATTAAAACAAATATAAATATATTCAAGTGTTCCTAAGGACCCTATATCAAAGGTATCAAACTGTAAAAAAAATACTTTCCACAATCCTTGGGAAGTCTAGTGTCAATAATGGCTTCATGGCCACTGAGATACAGTTGGTGTATAAGGTGCACACACACACACATACACACACACACACACACCTTTTCTATCCTGCAACATTCACCAAGTAATTGCATACTGCTATGCCACGATGTCAGCTGGAATATCTGTGATGAATGCAGCTCAGGCCTTCAAAGTAAGTACACTCCCACTCTGCCAGCTGGGCTATTTGTTCAACCAGCGTGTTACTTGGATGCAGGCAGGGTGTGATGGAGGTGGAAGATACCATGATTGTTATATATATATTTATTTTTTGGGGGGTTGTCAGTGAAGCTAGTGGTGGGTTGTTACAGGCAGGGACCCTCTTTGATTGAGAATGATTCACCCTGTAAAGCTTCCTCACCATCTTTTATCACCGTCGTGGTAAGCACCATTATCCATGGGAACGTGTGTGATGTGTGTGTCTGTGCATGTGGGTGGATACCTACGTGCTTGTGTGCAAGTGTGTGTGCATACGTGTGAATAACTGAGTGATCTGCTCTCTGTAATACCACTGACACATTTGTGTAATTCACTATTTTTCATTTTTAAATAATTTATTAAATGTGCCCACAAAAAAGTGCCACATTGCATCAGCTGTTACAAATTCCCATCCCTGACACACACAAAAAGAAAACCATTACAAATGCAAACCATAACATGCAAAGTCGACAGTAGTGTAATACCCTCTGTACCTTCCAAAACACCAATCCTCAGTCCTGAGGTGCCAGCAGTTTGCATCACTTGGGCCCTATCACTGAGGTATGGCATGCAGGACTCTTCCAGAGAGGAAGCATACCAATCCAATTTTGTCGACTTTGGGAAAAGAAAAAAGGACCTAGCAAACATGAAAGGCAGAAAAGAAAATTCCTGGCAGAGACCCCACATGTGTGATTTGACATCCAGGCAGCTGACAAACAATTAGACCCTCAATAAGTAGCGCTCTGAACCTGGCTCGCCCAGGGATTAGGCCACAAATGAGCTGCTCGTCGTGGCTTATGTCTTCTAAATGGAAAGTGTGTGTGTGTGTGTGTGTGTGTGTGTGTGTGTGTGTGTGTGTGTGTGTGTGTGTGTGTGTGTGTGTGTGTGTGTGTGTGTGTGTGTGTGTGTGTGTGTGTGTGTGTGTGTGTGTGTGTGTGTGTGTGTGTGTGTGTGTGGAGGCAGGGTATTATATGTGTTGTACACGGTGTGAAAGTGAGTTTTGGTGTGTAGGTGTGTGTGGGTTGTGTGACATTTAGCAGATTGGTGTTATTATCTGTGTCTGCCCTTACTATATCTTAAACACCTCTTGAAGAAATCTGTGTTTTGAGGGGGTTTGGCTGTTTGCAGATCTGCTTATTTTATGCATGCAGGTTCACACTGATCCACACAATTCTGCATACACTCTAAACACTTGTACATGTGTCAGTGTGTGTGTGTGTGTGTGTGTGTGTGTGTGTGTGTGTGTGTGTGTGTGTGTGTGTGTGTGTGTGTGTGTGTGTGTGTGCGTGCGCGTGTTTGTGTTTGTGTGCTTGACTGTTGTGTTATTGCTGGTTCTCTGTTGTGTGTATGTTTGACATTTCATAATTTCATCATTACTCGCTCGGTATCCTCCTGCACGAAGTGGGTGCATCGCAATTTGCAACACATGCTAGGAGCAGACAGACACTTGCCCTTGATTATGGACCTGGGTGAAATGGCTGCCTCATCAGGCTGTCTTGATTCACCCCAGCATGTGGGGAGACACATGCTGCTGTGGGTGAATCTAATTGATTGGATGGCACCCAATTCCCAGGTCCAAGTCTTCTTCAGGCAGCCAGAGTGAATCCGTCCAAGTGAAGGATGAGCTTAGGCGTTAGTTGCTCCCTTAATAGATTGGCATGGGCTGCCTCCCATATGCCTCTGGTATCACCCTCAGACATCTCCGGGTGCAAGTTGGCCAAACAATAGGGCACAAAGTGACACTGTCTGGATCCTCTGATTAGATTTGTGATAATGGACGGAAGGAACTAGACTCCCCATTTCACTTAGTTGTAATCATACTTCCACTACTATTTGTATGACTTCCTGTTAAATGATTAAAAGGCTTAATGTCGAAAGCTGGAAAAAGCAGTGTTTTGAGTGTGCTGAGTTAGGTGTTTGACAACAAAAGTCTCTCTCCAACAGGTCAAGACCCCCTCTCTCGGAGAACACCAGTGCCATTTTAAAGCTTATTGGATGAAACTCTCATTTGCCCTTGGCTGCCAAAGATGACGTTGCCATGGAAACAGCTTCTACTGTTATCAATCATCGACTGTCTGGCAGGTAAACCACCTTTTTTTTTATATGAGTAATGATTCTTTCGCATTTGGACATTTACAGTTGCGGGGATGATGGCTGAAGAGAAGAAAATCCTGTCAGTGTCAGCGATGATAGGATGGCTCTGGTTTAAAGAAACACTCCTCAGTATTGACTTCCATTCGCATCACAGAAACAATACTCTCAATCTTCCTCTTCACTGCTCTGTCATTGTAGCCTGATGGAGAAACATTGGCTTTTGTTTTCTTGTTGTGGACACAGTTGTTCTGGTCAATTAGTAGAAAATCAACACAAATGCAGAGCAAAGACTGTTACTTCTTTTACATTAAGAAAATGTACTGGGAATTACGCTAACAAAGAACTTAGAGCAAGGATAACACCTTTGAAGTCACCGTGAAACAGAACTTGGACAGTACCTCACTGCCGTGGCGTGACATATTTCCAACTGATGCGGGATGTAATGTATCACAAGAAAGAAGAAGGTGGGACATAATGTTTGGATGGATTTGAATTGGATTTCTAGCTTCGAGAAAGCTTTTTAATTGGTCGAAAAACGAGTAAACGGCCCTGAGTGCAGGATGAGTCATCAGATATTTGAAAAGTTTTAACTGAAGATTTGCTTATTTCGAGGTATGAAAAAAAAAAAAACTCAGATAACGCTTTACTGAAATATATATGGCAGATAATGGCAGATTAATGAACATTTAGCTAGGCCTTTCCCCGACTTAACATAGCCGAACATGATTGGTCAGACTTTGCCTTTCATCGACTTATCCTTGAAATGTTTTGCAGTTGTTTTTTTTCGCTCATTAATGCATACTCTCATTTGAGTTTAACCACATTGTTTAACTATTTGTCTTCTCGACATGGAAAAACAATTTATTCTATGATAGGACTTGACACTGACAACCACAACAGTAGCCACAATCTATGAATCTGTCAGACCACCGACAAAGAAACAACATCTATTCACTTACCAAATTTACCTCTGCTGTTTGTCTGTCTGTTGACATCTCATAACAGCCAATGAGAGGCTTAGTTGAAAAGAGGTGCCGCCCCACTGTTTTGACGGCCAATTTCACACGACAGTGCGGCTGACTGACATTTCTTGGAGCCAATGAAATTCTCAAAACATGGATAGTGTGCTTCTATCAATACTTCGGGGGGATTTCTTCATGCACACACTAAGGAGATTTAAAGTGGTTTTCAGAACTGCATTCGATAAGGGGGAATAAGGTGATATTAGTACCAAGATAGGCTATGAGCCATGAATTATTTGGAGAAAACATGCAAATCTATGAAGATGATACTTGTGCTCAACTGTGAGACTGGCACTCGCCTGTGGTTCTGCTTAGCGAATCATTGAATATTTGACTATGGGATCACCCATTTTTCATATCATTGGGACTCAAAATTTTGCCAAAAATGTAAACTTAAACATATAACAAGCAACAGTTTATCAATTATTCATTAAGAATTCTTGTGTTTTCTAAAAATGCTCCTGTTGGTAACTGCTGAAATTTGAACTCTCACTCTGCCAGGATCGGCTTTCTGGCATAGTTGTACATTCTCAGCTGTCCATTTTCTCCACTTTATTCTTGCAAAAGGATCAGCACTTCTCATCACCTCCACATAATATGAAACATATTGAGTCCCTCCTCATGCTTAGTAATGTCCCACCTCCCATTTTTGAAAGAGCCCTCCCCATTAGACCTAAATATCCCATTTCCTCCAGAAGAATGTGGAATTATGGAGGCCAGACTCTCTATCAAAAAATGGCACTTTTTTCCCTCCGTTTCTACACTCAGGCTGTTACTGTTTTTCTCTGACAGATTGCCTGGACAGTGGATCGTATCATGGTCCAAGATGGAGGATGGAGCCAGGTGACTTGTTTATTCCTGTCGACTCTATAGAAGAGGAAGCTACTTTGACTTGTGATGCTAAGGGAATACCCCCACCTCAGTACAGGTAAGAGCACATTGAAAAGAGAGATGCATGAAAGATGTGTCTGAAAATGGATGATTAAAGCATCATGATTTTATGTAGTAATTAGCAGTTATTGCAATTTATTCCGTTTTCGGTTTGTTTTACTTTCTTTTCCAAAGGGCCCATATTCAGCATATCTCCCTAAACGTACCTTACTATTATCCCCTGTAAGCATTTTCTGAGATGTCATTTAGCCATCTTTAATGTAAAGGGCAATGATCAGTGCAAGACATAACTTTTAGGGCCTGGGGACATTAAACCATTTTTTTTAGCTAGCATTGAAGCTTCCCGTTTTATAAACCCTATTTTAGACAATTACACCTTATTATATAAATAAGGAGTTACAAGGAATATAGAACGAGGAGGTGCTTGTTCTCTTTTTGATGTCCTCTGAATTCAATTATAATGCAAACAAACACTCACATCACATGGCTTTTTTTTTCATTCCAGGATTGAATAGAAAACTAACCTGCGTCTAGTCTTACCAGATATTACCTCGGTCCAACACATGTACAGAGACGGGCACAGTTAATTAAAAATGTAACTCTGTTAACCGTTAATCCTTTTATAAAGACCTATACTTCTATATCAATTCATCTGTTGATTCCGTTAATATTTAACTGAAGTTAAAATGAACGCTAATGGTATCATCAAAAACAACATCAACTTTTTGCTATGTCAATAGATTTGAGTTCTTAAAAGGCCTTTATGACTTAGTAAACTCTCCCCTGACTTGTATGTGTGTTTTCAGAATATCACTGTTAATTAAACAACTGCTGTTCTGTGTATATCACTCACGCAACGTCACTAGAAAGCACTTCTTGTGACTTCAACCATATAATCAAGGCTTTTCCAAGCTCCAGGCGTCCCGACCCCACCTGGAATCGCCTGGAATTCAAATGGGGTCGCCTGAAATTTGTATTTATTGAAGAATAAAAAATATTGTAAATTAAAATATATTTCATATATGAATTATATATAGAACACAGCCTACTGTGTGTCATATCCAATGCCAAAACAAGAAACTTGAAGAGTCTGTGTCTGTATGTCATCCATTGTGGAGAAGTGTTATCCCTGCCTTTCTTCCTCAAGAAAATGACATGAAAAAGCCTTTGTGAGGTCTAAAATGGATGTTCACTTGCAACACAGTACAAAAACTAATACATATTTAAAAACAAATTAATTTGAGCAAAAGGCTGTGTGTGTTTTGGATGTCTGGGGTCGCCAAAGTTTTGTGAAGTCAAAGATGGGTCACTACCTAGAAAAGGATACTAATGTAAATCCTTTCAAGATCCAAGCATCATAGCAGCCACAATCTACACATCTGTCAGACCACTGACAAACAAGCAAGTCTTTCTGATTCATTTTTCTTACCATCTGTCTACTGTTCTCTTCTGGTCATAATAATCCAACAAAAACATCCCTGCTGCATATACAGGGCTCCTCAAACAATCATATCCAGTGAAAGATTTATTCCAAACACTTCACATCCATAAAGATCCACAGATTTGTTTGAAATATCTGCCACTGTTCATCTATTTTCTACTTACTCGTGAACTCTGAACTTTTGAGTGACATCTCATTTGACTAATCAGCATCTTCCGTTCACTGTTCCTTGGCTACTTTAACCAATAAGAGCCTGAGTAGAAACGGGACTTTCTCTCCCCTCTGTGGCTGCATTACACATTAACCGATGTGTCAGTTAATAAAGAGGATAACAACAGGGTCAGCGGTCTAGTCTCTACGGAGAGTCTGGAACAAGTGAGGTCCTGTAAACTGACTCAAAATGGTGAAAGTGAATACAAATAACGAAAATGACGTTAATGGAAACCAACTTTAACGGAAATTTAGTGATCCAATAATCATTTTCTCAAATTAACGTCTACGTTCAAAATGAATTAGGGGCGCTGGTGGCGCAGTGGTTAGTGCGCGCCCCATGTTTGGAGGCTATAGTCCTCCAAGCAGGCGGCCCTCGTTCAAATCCGACTTGTGGCTCCTTTCCCGCATGTCATTCCTTTACTCTCTCTCCCTGGTTTCCATCTCTATCCACTGTCCTATCTCTACATTAAAGACACAAAAAGCCCAAAAATAAATCTTAGAAAAAAAAAAAAAAGAATTACAAAGATGAACAGACAAAATTAACGCTTAACAGATTAACAGATGTGTGCCCAACTCTGCACATGTATCTTAATGTTTCTTCTGTCTTAAAGAATACTGCAAAACCATGCAGGTTGCCAGTCAGCAGTCGGCATCAGCTAGCATTGATTACACGAGTATTTTGAGTTCAACAGTGGAATTAGTGTGGCACAGACGAGCTGAAAGAAAGCGGTGTAGAGAACGTACGCTCATTATTTCAGGCTTTTCACGTTCCCCGCCTGAGACCAGGTATTTCCATGTACTGATTAAAGGTGAGATGAGCATGTTTAAGGTGGTGTCTTGTCAAGCGGGCTGTGCTTGGCTCTGCATGCCCTCAGCACCTCTCTAGCTCCTCTCTTGAAGTGTAAATGGGCTCACACTGCTCCCTCCTCCTCTTTTTTTCCCCCCTCTTCTTCTTTCCCCTGCCAGTCACTCACAAAGAGATGAGACGGTCATTGTATAGCAGCATAAAAAAAGCCAGGAAAGGAAGCCATGTCTTAAACAGAAACATCTCTCCTTCACTGCCGGTTATAAAAGTGATGCAGTGGGATTTTTCTCTTAAATCAAAACACAGGGTGACTTGGCCAACCTTTACTTGACCTGCTTGTTGAAACGTGTGGCTCTCCACTGAAGAATCATCTGAAATACTCAAGATTCTCTGTGGTCAGGTTGGACAACATGTCTTCACAAGATGAGACTCAAGCAGAGAAATTCAGCTTTGGAGTTGGAGTTCAATCACCCGCACAATGTTGAGGGCATCACTGAACAGCAGAGGCTCTTGAGAGTAGGTCAAAAAGAGGTGAAGGATTGTGACGTGGGGATAAAAAGCTGAATTCATGCAAGTGGACACATGCCAGCATGTCGCAAAGGTTCACCTTAATACATATGAGAACACTAGTATCAAGAAAAAATGTCTAGAATATGACAGCAGGGATTCGGTGCCTGGATTGGAAAAACAGATTTTCTTTTTGAGGCTGATCTTGAAAGCTTTTGCAAAGTTGCTCAATATGGCCTCCATGTCTTTCATTTACTCATGAGCACACAGAAGAATAAAAATGGTCTCTGAATGAAAAAAAGTTTATTTTCTATGCTTTGAGAAAAATTATGGAACCTACTTGAAAAGTGTCCTTGAACCCATCAATGCTCCGTTTTTCAATGGCACATAAAAGAGACGGAGTGTTGCAGTGCCAGGAAAAATTAGTCTCTTCTTGCTAAAAACAGAACTTGTTTGAAGAGTTCTTTCAGGTGCTGTATTTATCTGATTCTTAATCTGAGCCTTCAGCAAAAAAGTTTTTTTTTTTTTTGTCTTATAATTCCCACGCCTGGTAGGTGTGGGAAGATGAAACAGGAGGATAAAATGTATCATTTGTTGCATCAGCCCATTGTTACTTCTTGCAAAGTGGTAATATTTTCTAATAAGAAGTCAAAGGTGGAATAATATCACATTATGATAATAAAGTTTGACTGAGAAGATATTTTTATATAGCCTAGTTGAATACATGATAATATCTAGGATGTCATCTTTTCTTTGGAACAGGACATGAGCTGTAGAAGAGACAAAACACACTTACAATAACTTGAAAAGCATATATGAGCATTGCAGAATTCTGGATTATATTCCCCACCGAAAAAAATAAAATAAATAACAAGGGGAAACCATTTTTAAACAAAAATTGATTTTAAGGTAGGAAGTTTCTAATAACTTGCAGTTTATAAAATGTTAGATAACAAGAAGTGAAAGCAACAAAAATACTCGGGTATAAACTTTATTTGTTTGTCAGGAAAGTTGAAGCTCAGCAGGAAAGAGTTAATGGTAAACTTCCTGCTGTTGGCGCTTCGAGCTGCAGTCCTGTGAAATCCTGAATACACCAGCACAAACACACAGTATATTATTCTTACTTCAAGTTGAGTTACTGCAGTGAGTTGTGTTCTCCGCTCACCTCCTGTCAGACCACCTTGGTTGGTAGAAAGAAATGGACGCTGCATTTTGCCAGGGACTGATGGTGTCTTTGCCCTCACAGATGGTCATTGAATGGGACTCTCATAAATCTGGGCCTGGATCGCCGGCGGCGTCTGTCTGGGGGCAACCTCATTATAAGCAGTCTGGACCGCTACCAGGATGTAGGGATGTACCAGTGTATGGCGTTCAACACTGTGGGAGCCATCCTCAGCAGGAGAGCCAGTCTGCAGTTTGCCTGTAAGTTGAAATCAGTGTTTCTTACTTTTTACTGAGAAATGGAACGGAAGTGAAAGTGCACTTAGCAAATAGTGCAGACGCACACCAAACTGAGTGGACATTATTTGCAATATTTATCAGTGTTGTACGGTTGTTTTGAAGCTACATTCAATGTTGAAGTAAAATGGGAGCAGTCTGAGCGTGACAACTGTTCCTTACTTATGATCGCACATGCAAACTAAGAATAACTACTTAGCTTGATCTAAAGCCATCTTGTGTTTTATTGGATGATCTCAGGGGAGCGGTAGTCAGCCATATTGCTTAAGCAGTGTATGAAGAGTATGTGAATAAGGCCTGATGCCTGAGGAAAGCTGTGTTTACTTTAATATGCTACAACTGTCGTACAAAAAGAACTTAAGAGTAATGCCAATAAATGGAGGAATCGGTGGAAACATTGCTTTGTGTTACGTCTGCAGAGAGGTTGTGTTTTTCCCCATCACATAATCCTTGTTGGTGAAACCAGCAAACATCTAAAATGAAGAAATAAATGAGTGTTTTCCTTTTGTGTGCTATTCATTAAGGCTTCTTTCATGTATGTCACAACAAAACATCTTTTCACACCTTCTCCTGGTGGCATCTGGCCATGCAGGTATGTTTGGTTTTATTTGTCAAGCTTTTGAGATATGCAGCGCTGAGAAAATGGAACAATGACATTTAAATAAAAAATACCTCAACAGCAATGAGCGTTTGCTGGAATAATGTTACACTGAATAATCTACACACTTTGCTGATAAGAGATTTGGCTATTTTTCACCTTTAAATAAAAGAAGTACCAATAGAAGAGTGGTTGTAGGAAAGTGTGTGAATTGTACTGGAGAGACCTTTCCAGACTTATATGGCTATAGTATTAGGGTAAAATGATTGCCTTGTTTTTAATTTAACATTATAGAATAATAATAGGTACTAGTTTAATATATTCTAGTTTAAGTTAGACCCACCAATCAAACACGTCTATTTGTCCTCATCAATGGAAGACGTATGTGCTTCAAACACTGATGAACACACTGTTTTATGTTTTATACATATTCTTGTAGTGGTATGGTTTTGGGTTGCAGCCTGTCCCACCATGCATTGCTCAAAAGAAACACAAGGCTTTTCATGATACTAGCATTTAAACTGATATACAGTGTAGCCCATGCAAATAAAACTGCATACTGCTGGTGAAGAAAAAAAACAACTGAATACCTACAAACGTATTTGTAATAAGAGTTACAAATAAGACGTAATAATTACAATTTTCCTGAAGAAAAAAAAAGTGACATGGCTGCTATTCAGCAGTACATCTTCTGCTGTGGTTGTTCAGTGTAAGTTAATGAATGATTTTGATAGTGGATGCAGAATGTCCCTGAAGTTCATTCATCAGAGTTAAGTTCTACAATAGAGCAGCAGCCAACTCAATAGACACATCAGCTGGCAATACATTCACAACATTGAGAAGAAGGTGAGGTAGGCAGCGAGGTCTATTGTGACTCACCTTTCAGCAAAATGTTATAATGACATGTTTTTCAGATAGCATGGCTTTTGAATCTTCCTGATTCTGACTCAAAAGACTTAGACATAGAGTTTAGTGAGTAATAACGCCGACGCCGACTGTCACATGTCCCGTTGTGTGTGAAGCAACAACAAGGGGGATCACATTTTCTCAACAGCAAAGTTAGCTGTTTTAAACTGAGTTTTGTACTAGCTCTCAACTTTTTCTAACTTAAAAAATATCATGGATTTGGTAATGAGCCTCTTAACGTTTATTTTATTTATTCATTTGTATTATTTTAATGAATATTTACAAACGCTTTAAAGTACTTACAGTAATTTCACAAAGCTTGCTTACACATATTTTGTAGCCTTGTGTACAAAGCCGTTCAAAACCTGTTCAAAACAGCCCTTTTCATGTCAAGCAAAATCCCTCGTAATTTACGTTGCATTTAGGGCCTGGATTTACATTTCTGCTTTGTATTTTCACAGTAAGAAAACCCCTTCCTATGTTTGAGCTCTTTTCTCTCTCCCCGTCTCTTTTGCTCTCTCAGGCGTAGCAGAAGTGTTATTCTCATGGCAGCTTCCTTATAGGCTCGTGTCAGTGTCTTGCTCAAAGATTTTACTCAGCTCTGCTACACTGTGATATGTGAGATCCTGTGGTGATCTTTCTTTTCATTTCTTTTACCCTTCATCAGACTTAGATCATTTCAAAGTCCACACCAGAAGCGCAGTGTCTGTGAGAGAGGGACAGGGAGTGGTGTTACTTTGTGGAACGCCCACTTCCTCAGGAGGTAAACTCTCTAGCCTTCATCTTCGGTGTTGTTACAGGATTAAAGTATAATCTTGACACGGCTGATTAGCCTTTTTTAATCACATTTAATACTCTTAATCGCATTAAGCATCTCTTTATACGGTGTCCACGATTAGCTCATATTCGTCCTTGTTTGTCTTCCAGATCTCACATATGCATGGGTCTTCAATGAGTACCCATACTTTGTTCAACAAGACAATCGCCGCTTCGTCTCTCAGCAGACGGGAAACCTTTATATTGCCAAGGTGGAGCCCTCTGATGTGGGTAACTACACCTGTGTGGTGATGAACAGCATCACAAAGGGCAAAGTCCAAAGCTCTCCCACGTCTCTGATCCTCCGGACAGATGGTAAGACGCAGCTTACGTCCACAATGTGACAAGTATGCCTTTCAGGCATATATTAAAGACCTTTCCTTTCAAGGTTGCTTTAATCATCATACTAGTGTGAGTGCTCTTTGTCGTGTCGTGCCTCGCTGTAGTTGAGTCACCGAGTGCTAATGCCTGTAAGTAAATAAATGCTCCTCAATGTAGGCCAGCAAACAAAGCACCCAAATCTCTCCTTTGCTGACTTAGCTGTCTTATAATTCGCATTCCCTTTTAAAAGCTCTCCCTTTGCGCCTCACACATGAAGTCCCAGGCCCGGGTCCCTGGCAGTCTGTTGTTCTTTTCTCTGTTATGCTTTCATAGAAAGAGTGAATAAAGATTGCCTCTGGAATGAATAAAACATAAGCCATACGTCATTGGACCATTACATTGAGTGTTCCGGTGGCTCAACCAGTTAGTTTCCACTCAGTGTACTGTACATGTAGCTGCATAAATTTAAATCCTATCGCATCGCTTTCTGATCTCGGTCTTGACTGTCTCCCCTGAATACTGATACTAACAACAGAACCGTTGAGTTTGGGTGCTGCCCAGTCAAGCTTTGAAATAATAGATAAACAACCAGACTAGCTTCAAAAACAGGATTTTGAATATACAGTATTCATTCCACCAAGAAGAGGTTTAAATTATTCCTCGCTGGTTTTCCACTGCACTCTGGTGACTGCACACTTAAGTGATGTACTACTATGAGGTTTCCCCATGAGAGAATGTTTGCTCACATTTCTTTTATTTCTCCCATGTTAGTTTTGCAGTGCTATTGTTTGGAGCATAATGCAAACCTTATTGCGTGTGAGTCATGAATAATGGAGGACTGAACAAGTTTCCTTGTGCTTGCTCTTCATAGGAGTGATGGGTGAATATGAGCCGAAAATAGAAGTTAATTTCCCAGACAATGTACCCGCTGCAAAAGGATCAACAGTTACGCTGGAATGTTTCGCCCTTGGGAAGTAAGCTGGATTCAGTCAAGCATGTTTTCAATCTTCTGCTGTCTTTCACTCCACACGAGGAACCTATGGATCTCTGTGTGGTGAAGTTAATGGGCCAATTATATTTCTCAAAGTGTATGATCAAGCTGTGATTTGTATGAAAAGTATTGGAGATAGCTTTTTTTGTTGCTGGATCGACTTAACTTGAAAACCTTTCATCCACTAAAAAAAAAATACACTGAATAGGCTTAAGCTCCATCGCTCACTCTATTGCAGGATTATTACAGACAACCTGTGCAACAATCTCAAAAACTTCAAAGCCCCGTGGATGGGAATCTCTGCTGAGGCTTACCTCTCCTGTGTCTTTCAGCCCCGTCCCAGAAATCACCTGGAAGAGAGCTAACGGCGTTCCCTTCCCCAGCAAAGTGAAAATGAAGTACTCCAATGCTGTTCTGGAGATCCCTAGTTTCCAGCAGGATGACACCGGAGGATATGAGTGTGTGGCTGAGAACAAGATGGGCAAGAACACAGCCACGGGGAGACTGGCCTTCTATGGTAATAACAGGTTTTGTTTGGCTTTCTAAGACAACACAAAAAATGTATTCATTGTAAAATAATTACGAGGAGTAATGAAGATCTTTGCAATGTTGAATAAGGCCCGGGTTTATTTAATAGGTCTTTTTCATTGTATTTATTTACATAAACACTGTCAGAGGAGAAATCCGATGGAGGCTCTTAGATGGTAACAATGCTTGGCCCAGATTATCTAATTATGCGAGGGTTCAAGGATCCACTCCAAACCTTTGGAAAGGCTCAGGTTCCATTGGGGGCCTGTTTTTAAAGATTTGCGTGTGTTAAAACGTGTTTAAACTTGATATCACTGGCAAACAAATGTGCAAGCTGATCTTCTAATCGGTCATTATTGAGGATTGGGTCTTTTAAATGTGCAACACAGCATACATTGTACATTTAGTACTAAATTAATATGCAATATGGGGCGTTTCTACTGGAGTGATCAAACTACTCGGAGGAGAAAATGTAAAGGAGTTAATTTAGTACACACATTTTACGATTTACCACGCCTGGTAAAAATTGAGTTGTAATTAACACCTTAGTAAGGAAGGTGCTAATCCAGTAGCCCAGTGTTATGCACAACAGGCTGCTGTTATGTTGTTAGGAGGAGACATAGGCACAATAAAAGAAGGCGTAAAGAACGCCTTTTCCATACATGTTAACGTGTTTTGAATGATGCAAAAATACATTGCATCAATTTATCACCATTTAACACCATGATTAAGATGTTAGCCTATTTGTAGCCAAACGAATCTGAACATTCACAGCCACTGTACACTAAAGAAGAATATCAAGATTGACATCCATGTCTTCCTTTTTTCTTCTTTTTTGCCAACATTACATTTTTAACTGGGATTGCCTCTTTCGAGGGATGGGCATCTCTGCCCCAGCCCGTCTCATCCAGTGCGCTCCTCTCCATAGTGCGCTCGTCTCCCTCCTCAACAGTCCCCGGCTGCTACGCTGTGGGCTGTTTGGATTGGCAGACCTCGCCACTGCTTGTACCCTATCTTCAATCCCTCTTGCCAGCAGGGCATTTATGGCTATTGTCAGAACAAACACAGCGCTGACCAGCTGACTGATGTGCGCAACAATGGCACGAGTGTCGCGCTTGAGCACCCGCGCCGTGGAGGTTACAGCACGCACCTCCTGGGCAATGTACGCCAATCGATGTTCAGAAGATGAAAGGAAGAGAAGACAGGCGCTGTTTTATTCCGAAGTTTTCTTCTGTTCATCGCCTTATATCTCCACCTTCTCTTAATTTCATCTGCTTTCTTTTTGTTTTACCAACGCCATTGACGTTCTACTCTCCCATATTGCGTTTCTTTGTGTAATATTCAGATTTCTTCGCTGTAACTTGAACATTTGTTTATTCGTGTCTTCCACTAATACCTCTAATTACTGAGTTTAATTTTGCTCTTTCAGTCATTCAGCTTTCCGTCCAAACTCTCCATGTTGTAAACCAGTAAAACAAGGGAAAGCCTCATTTCAGTACTATCGCCTCCACAAGGTTTGCACCTGTTAACATTCATGCTATTTTGCTGTTGAGCACCTGCAAAACACACACCTACCAAATGTGCAATTTGTCGGCGTGAACACACAATTAAGTACTATTATGGGATCTTCGTAAATAAGGCCTGTTATGAATTTTTTGAGTGTTATAAATCTGGATAGTCATTAAGGATGAATGATATTAGAAAAATATCCAATGTGTGATTACATTTTCAATATTGCATGAGTATATAAAGTGGATTACATCAACAAATATTATCAATCAATCACTTGAAATGTATTTTGAGCAAAATGATCATACAGACAGCAGACTAAAGATTAAAGAATGCATATAAGCTATAACTCTATGTTTTACACTCTACCAGTCCCTGCTGAATCCCAAATACCCAACAGCCTTTTTTGTGCTATTCAATTAGCATCAGTTAATCTGAAAGTATTTGATAGCTAGCTGAGGCTTCATCTGATTGCATCAAAAAGTTGTGAAAGCATTGCCATTAAACTCAGGGCTCCATCCAACAGTTGAAATACACTCATGCTGAGTAAGAAAGCTTTGCTGTTTACATAAAGCATTTATGGCCATGTTTTCGGAGATGTAGTCCCTAAACCTTTTCCTGGCTTGTTGAGCCTTCTACTTTAATTTTTTTGCTCGCAGTGATGCAACACTAAAGCTGGTTGTAGTCAGTTGTTTTTTATCTACTTCCTCAAGAGATAATATGAGACCACCTTAGGCAGAAGGTTGCACTTTCTGGCACAAGCGGTAGACCTAAAAGTATCCTGCAGTGATTAGTTATTTTCACATCACAGTGTATTCATTATTGAGATAAAGAAAAAAAAATCTTTGAAGTTTCTCCCTATGTGCATGAGGCAGCGTGCTATTTTAATGGGTTCAGATTTAAGTAGTCTGAGCTCAGAATTGGACGTATATTCCATTTAATGCTTCTTCAAATGTGGCATCAATAATTGTTGTAAGTTTATAAGGGAGGATTTTTTGATGAAACGATCACTGTATGCACAGCCAGAGAAAAAGTCATTACATTTTCCCTGGATAATAAGCGCTGTTGGTTTTAATCTTACTGCAGTTATTACATTTTTAGGCTCTTGGCTTACCTCAGCTGCGAATGTTTGTGAGAGAGAGGCAAAATGACACCTGTGAAATCAGATGTGACAGTATGTACAGTGCCTGTGAAGTGAGCTATGCTTAGAATAACACTCTCTAGCCATTGAAATTCCTGAAAGTCTTTAAATATGGAAGAGTTAAGATGCAGGGAGTTGTAGGGTACAGGCAGGATTGATGTTTATTATACACAGAATTAAGGTGACAGGTTTGGAGTGAGTGGTGGAGACTGGTGCACTTCATCCCCCATCCTGAGAGCTTCCTGCTTTGTGGTGCATCATTTGTGCTAATCTTAAATTGCTACAGGGTGCTGACACATAAAGTGATGAAACTGAGTGATACCCTACATCCTCTTTTCTCCCCTCTCTGAAGACAACCCCATTCTCAAAGTGATCCCACTTATTTGAGCTGTCAATCTACGCCTGTTTCCCTTTGAACTACTCTGGATGCAGCATATTTAATGTGGTAATTCAGCTCCGTCTTCCTGCTTCCGTCTGATTTTTCACTGGAGTGTATTTCTGTTCCCTCAGCCAAGCCTCAGTGGATCCAGGCCATGAAGGACACGGCACTGGCCATCGAGGAGAGACTGTACTGGGAGTGCCGGGCCAATGGGAAGCCCAAACCCTCCTACACGTGGCTGAAGAACGGCCAACAGCTACTCTCAGAGGTAAATTACTGCCCGTCTTCTGCCACTTCCCGATGTTTCATTTTAAAGACTTAATCTTCAGCTCCAGCTCATCCTTTCATTTCAGAGAGCCCGGGTGCCAGGCACACGGCTGGTTTTTTTTTTCCAAGAGTAATTCAGAGTGAGATGAGAGGAGAGTGTAAACATCTTGCTGAGGTGTGCCAGTGATGAGCCATGGATGTAACTGTCTCTTCTTGTGCTCTACCTTGGCAGATTACACAGTCTTAGAGAGTGGATCAGTGTAGTCCCTGGGAGATTGCTCCATTTAATCTGAATGGAGTCAGTGGTTGTTTTTCATTATTCATGGTGCATGTTTAAGCTCCTCCAGATTTAGGGACAATGGACTTAATCTCCTGTGAAATATACTGTATATAGCAGCACACCTCACTCCAGACCACCAGAGAATTTCATGCAGTCTCCTGTATTTCAAGATCCACAGCTTTAAAATCGACTTGACTTTAACATGTGGCTGAGATTTTTTTTTCCTCAGTAACATTTAATAATTCTCAGGGTGCAGCTTCTTCTTTAGAATTCAACTTCAAATGTCTGATTTTAATATTAGAAAGACATTTTTTAAAAGTCAGTCTTTGATTTAATGGAATATATTTATATTAGTTATTAGCAATGTTCACCCATAAAGGGGATTTATAATCTCAGTATGATAGTTTCCATTCAGTTACACCACATATGGTTCAGATAACCAGACTGTTTGTCAATGAATGTTTGAGTTTAATCCTCTTAAGGCAAAACAGAGACATTATAAGACTGGACTTAGTGTTATGTAAGGTTGTTGAAGGCAAAACACTTTCATGTTAAAGATCAAATAAAAATATCTTGCGGCTTCATGTTTGATGCTGCTTATTAATGCAGAATAAAAAAAAACCTTTTACATCAGAATAATGATAAGCATATTGTGCGAGCTTAGTTTTTCACTGCAGGATACTTGTGTTGAAAAAGGAGGAAACAGTATCTTCCTATATTGTGTTTCAATGTCTTGTTTTTGTCTTTTAGTAAAAAGCAAAACACCAGACTAACATAAATAAATTATTTAACCAAAAAAGGCAAAAAGCAAAAATAAAAGCTTACACACTTCAAGTGCAACAAAAATTTCAAATAAAAATCACATATAGGAAAAACAACTCTCAGGGAACCACAAGGAGCAAAAAAGATGACACAGGAACTCGGCAGGAGGACGTAAGAACTGAATACAAGAGGGAAGGTCCACTGAGACTAAAAAGACACAACTGAGAAACATGTGAGACTAACGACACAGGGGAAGACAATCAGGCCAATCGAAATGGAGGGAGGCCAAGACAAGAATCACTGGGGACAAGATTTACAAACTAAAATAGGAAACACTAAAGACCAAACTAGGAAACATTGAAATAAATAAACGCACAAGGGGAACAAGCAACACCAGGGAAAAAAGAGACAAACTAAAACAAGAAAGGAAATCATGATAATTTTACTAAATATCATATTTTTTTTATTTTTTGATGCTACACATGTACTTCATTATTTCTGCTTAATGTCATATTTCGTTTAATGTTCTGTCTTACGCTCTGTAAAGCATTTGAATTGCCAAGGGAGTGGTAAATAAATAAACTTACCTTGCATTAAAGCATTTATTGGAATACAGTTTTCAGTTAGCAGGTCCACATGGCAAAGCTATGAAGACTTTTTAACAAGATTGCAAGGACAAGAATGTATTTAAAATAAAAAATGGGGTTTCTCCTCTGACTGATTCATCCTCTACAATGTAACCTTGATTTCATCTGCACCCATTGACAATGCCTCCAACCCAATCCAATGCTTATTGAGTTGTGCTGGAGCGTGCTGAGCAAAGCAGAAGCAACCTTTAAGTCTTAAGCAATAATTGCTTTCTTTCATCCTTTTCTTCACAGGACAGAATCCATGTGGAGGATGGAGTCCTGACGGTGTCAGTGCTGACACTCGCTGACGCCGGCATGTACCAGTGTGTGGCCGAGAATAAACACGGCGTTATATATTTCGCTGCTGAACTAATGGTTTTAGGTAGGCTGGCATTTATCTGTCCCTTAAATCCTCCAATCATTGTTGGCAAAGAATCTTAAAGGTCAACCTACTGTCATCCTTAAAGGTTGTCTGGATTTGCGGATAATGGGGTCAGGGAGGAGGTTATTGTAGGGTCATACATATTTTTAAAATATTTTTTTCCCATTTGTGATATACAGATCACATTGATCTTATCCTGTGCATGATGCGATTGTTGAATTTAAAAAGTTAGAATATTTTTCGTTCATAAATCTATACTTAAGAACATGTAATACAAATGTACAGAAGTGAATACATGTGATCTTATTTGTTTTGGTTCCCAATACAAACATTTATCCTGTCTGCCTCTGTTAGTGCTCCGTTTCATGGTTTTAACGGATCAAACTGAAGCATGCTTCAAAAAAAACCTGTGAAATATGATGCAGTCGTCTTCTAAAGTCAGTTTACTGTTTCCCATCAGCCTCTCCTCCAGACTTCACAGGGAACGTCCTCAGAGCTTTGCTCAAAGCCAAGGCAGGAACTACAGTGACTTTAGAGTGTAAACCCCAGGCCTATCCTATCGCCAGCATCCTATGGAAGAAAGGAAACCTGCCTATCCACACCAATGACAGGTGAGGACTGACATGAAAGTTTTCTGTGTGTCATTTGAAACCACTTTGGTGATGCACATAGCAAAAGATTGATGGTTGGTCAAAGTCGAGTTATGCACACATAAGCCAATCAGTGTATCTGTGTAAAGATATCAGAGCAGGTGTATTTTTCATCATTTTTTCAGCTTTGTTTGGTCTAACTGATTAAAGCTTAGCACATATACACAAACTGCTTGATGTCTACGATCATGCTGCACATAAACCCAAACAAATCTAGAATTGGACTTTGTCTAACAACAAATGATTCCTTGTTTTTGCAAAGTAGGTTGTAAACTGTTGTTTTCTGAACTCTGCCACAGGATCTCACTTTCCCCCGATGGAACACTGAGGCTTGCCAACGTGAGCAAGTCTGATGCAGGCAGCTATACGTGCTTCGCCCGGAATAGATTTGGCATGTCTAGTACAACTGGAAGGCTCCTAGTAACTGGTGAGCCCTGCTGTTAAATAGCATTATGTTTGTGCTTTTCCACTTAGTAAGCAGAATTCACTGCTCAGTATGGATTAAAAGAGGAGAGAGAGGTGCTATACCATGAGACCTTGAGTCAATAACTGTGGGTAGAGAAGATAAACAAACTTCAGGCTTAGATCTGAGGAGGTTGTGCAAACTTGAGGAAGTTGTTTTCCTTGAGGCACGCGACATAAAGTCTTTGCATGATTAAGTAACATACAGAATTGTTCATGTGTATCTGTAAGATTCATTTCCAACAGTAGTTTAATATCTTATGTTGTTTTTTCGGGCTGTAATTGTCAAACAAAAAAGAAAACGCACCTCCAAAGTAAAAGAATTTGAGTCTTTTTGTTTCATTTCAATGAGTTGTTTTGTCGGGCTGCATTTCCCAGCAGCTGCAATAATGCTCTTGGAAGGTGTTTGAGAAAATACTTCATCATTATTTTCCTCAAAGCAGTCGAAAACAACCAATTTAGTGCAACAAATGAGAGTCCATTATGTGGAAGCAATGTAAGTGTTAGTGGGGAGGTGTTCCAGATACTGTCATCGTCAAGTGTGGGTTTTTTTTAGTGGTGGGCTTGAACATTATCTTACTGCTTATGTTGATGTTCTGAACCATGTACAATGCACCAAGCAGCCCATAACATGAAATCTGATCTGAGCTGCAGTGCATTGTAATTGTTATCAGGACTTCAGAAGATTATTCGAGCTACGGCTGTGTCAGCCTGTAGTATAAGACCATTGAAGTAGTCATGCTACATCATTCGACTTGGACGATTAGAGCCCGGGCCGACATGGGATTTTTGGGGGAGATACTGATATCCATAATTGGGAGAAAAAAACATCAGATACCGATATATCAGCTGATATCTTTCTTAGATCTATGTTCGGTCTGTAGAGATAAATAGATGTAGATATATAGATATACACGTTTGTTGTGTTGATCCCTTAAATGCAGTTATCCAACACAAGAGATATACAGTATAACAAAGACAAGATGGTCACTCAGCTGGAAAGTAACTGCGCATGTACAGTAGATGTGTCACTGCTTGGTCAATTTCTACATATCAATTAATTGGAAACATGAAGAAAACATGACAAAATCTGAAGGTTGTGGCCGTAGCTGGGAGATAAAAATCAAACTGCAAATGAACTGAAGTGATTTGTTCTTTTAGAAAGGAGCATCGGTGGTGGTCTTGACTGGTCTTAATTTAAAATCAGTTTTAGTTATGTATTCCTTCCTTTGGTTGAATAATAAGTCCACCTAAGAGTATCCTACAATTTGGCCCTCTGGCAGTGGGAATTAAATTAAATGTGGCCCTTGCTGTTACCAAAGTTGCCCATCCCTGCTCTGGAGAGTGTTAATGCTTGTTGTAATCCATAAAGTACACTCTGCTGGTGAAAGGGAACTGCTAGTGTAATACAGTTCAACTCAAATAAAATGCTATTTGATTTGTGAATAAATGTATTATTATCAGCACTTATCTGCGACGTAATTAGTTGAAACCGATACTCACTTAATATGTTAATAATATCAGCCAACATCATCGGCTGGTTGATTAATCGGTCAGACTCTACTCTAGATAATACTGCTTTGCATGTGACTTGGTGTTTGACAGAGCTGCTATTAGAAGAAAAATCAACAAAACACTGATCATACTTTTGCATGCAAATGTGTCATGTTCTGTGTGAGACTGGCAGCCCTCCCACCCAAAAATGACTCCATCTTTCAAATACAATTTCTGGGGCAGATCCAACCAGAATCATCCAGGGGCCAGTGGACATGGAGATCATTGTGGGCGAGAGCATCGTGTTACCTTGTCAGGTCACCAGTGACCCCGTCCTTGACGTTTCATTCTCCTGGGCCTTCAACGGACAGCTCATTGCCAAGGGAGACGGTCACTTTGAGCTGGTGGGCGGGGTGAGTGACCCGCAGTCGTACTTCTTCAGAACGTGTGAATGGGCAGTTGGCACCTCTTCCCCATCTTGCTTCACTTCATCCGAGCCGTTCGTTAAAAGAGACAGCTTGTGGTTTGACATCATGGGATTTCTTGGAGAGATTTACTGTGGCTTGTGTCACTGCAATGGGTGTGATAGCATCCTTATTTTGCGATTGTAAAAAATCTCCTTGAAGGCAAGAAATGCTTTGGGAATGTGAATTTCTCTTGAAGGAAACACTTTTAGGTCATTCTGCCCAGCTAAGAGTGCCAATTCTACTTTTGTGAATGGAAACGTGGTTGCTTCTATGTCAAAATGCCCTTCCTACATAAAAATCACCATGTAGGTAATGCGTTAGCTGCTCAGCCATTGTGACAGGTTGTCATCTTCTTGAGCACACTTCTCCTTCTAGAGCTCAGCCCTCTGAGGTAATCTATTTTTTAATACTTTGCCTGGTCCTGCCTTCTTTTCAAATCCTACTTTGACATAGCCTGCTGCACAGCCCCTTGTAACAGAAAGGGGATACACATCATTAGAGGTGTCTTTTAAAGGAATGAAAGCATGGCAGAGCCCCAGATGACAAAACACTTTCCGAACACCCTCACCCCCCTTTGGAGATTAACCATTCTTCATCTGTGTGTTTGACTGACAATGTTCTTATCTGAAGAGACTCCTTCCCCAGAAATCCTCGAATGTCCCCAGTCCAAAGAGATTATCAACTTAACTTTGCTGCTTCAAGGAATTTAATTTCCATAATTAAACCATGTTGGCTCTACTGCCACATTTCCTTGCCAATGCCAAGGGAAGATTTCCCCACTAATTTACCATTTGCTGCTTACGGGTGTCCTCTCGATGAGAATCTAATGCGTCTTTTTTTCATCTCCAATTGAGCAAAAACCAGCTGAACTCAGTAGTAATGGCTTATTTGTTAGTTTCTTGACACAGGTCTTGAAGGTCATTTTGAGGAGCCCTGCAAAAAGCATGTGAAATAGCAGAGGCCTTGTTGGACACAAAAACTCATATTGCTGTACACAATTTCAGAAAATTCTGGCCTTGATCTTCCTCATAGACAGAAAAGTGTGACTCAGAGGTTCTTTTTATTTTCTGATTTGTTTTCAGTGTGTTTGCCTTCATGGCTTTGACTGCAAAAAGCTGTCAAAAGATCCTTGTAATAACTCTCCCTTGAAACAGGCTTGATTTTCCCCCGCATAGTCCCAACTAAATAACTGCAGGATCTGCGAAGGTTTTTTGGCACAGCTATTTACTGCACCTTATATATGCTTGACTACATCCTTTAATAAGCTGTCACAAAGTCTGTTATCTTTCATGCTACATAAAACTTTCTCTCCTCCTTGGTAGAGAACAGCAGGAGATCTGATGATCAGGAACATTCAGCTTTACCATGCCGGCAAATATATCTGTGTGGTGGACACGGACGTGGAGAGCCTGTCAGCCGTGGCTGTATTGATCGTTAAAGGTAAGGAAACCTCCTTATGGCTCTGCAGTCACTCATTAAAACAGCCTGATTGTTTTAAGGTTCCTGTTTTTTTCAAAGGAGAATAAAGTGCACTTTAAGGACTGATGTGTGCTATTTAAATTGACCAATCCGTAGAAAAGGTAGTGGTGTAATAATAAGTTTGTGTTTGTTGTTTTTTTCCCCTGAAAGTAATATTGGTTTGTTTTTTTGGTACAGTACAGTGAGCTATTTATATGTATAAAGTTTACTCTTTCATGGATTCCATCATGTTGCAGACCCATGTTTCTACAGATGTAGGAGCTAATTTTCTTTAGACAGAGCTTTTTTTTTTAATTTTGTGAGTTACTTAACGTCTGTTGGTTCTCTCATACACTTGATAAAAGAGTAGCACGAAGCTTCAAAAGTGAAGCCAAAACAGAAGAGCCTTAAGTCTGCCTTCTTCATCACAGCCAGTAGGGATTGATTGCACAAGCTGCAAAAAGAAGTCCAATGTCATATTTATAGATGAGAAAATAACACTGCTGTACTTTTCATTTGGTTTAATGAGTTTAGAGTCGGAACCGCTAGATTCAGCTGCTCTGCAAACCCCACGTTACACTCACTTTAAAAGTGATGGTTCCATCTTAAATGAAAATTGACGATGAAGCAGGGTGTGCTTTAGGGAGTGGCTACCTGTGATTGACATGTCTCTGCTTGGGCTGCTGTGAACCAGGAAGAAAACATAGCAATGCCTTTCGAGCATGACATCGATAAAAGGTAACTTCTGGTTTCAAATAGCATAGAGGATATCAATCAAAATGCCAAACAGAAAGAGGAGTTAACTTATCAATGTGTGACATCATGGTTGCTAAGTCCACTTCTATACACAGTGTATAGATATTCGATAGTATGTGCTTGACAGGGAGGGTTAAGTAAGTTATTATCATTTGTTTGCTTACTGCAACCTCACCGCTACCTTCCACTTTATCCTACACACTAATCTTTTGTAAATTGTAAATGGATGGACAATTCTTACATAGCTCTTTTATACCTTAACCCTACAAAGCACTATTCAGTTTGCCTTTCATCGTTCCATTCACACACACACACACACACACACACACACACACAATAACACATTGAAGACAGCTGAGCAGCATGGCCTGCCCATTGGGAGAAACTTGAAGTTCAGTATCTTGCTCAAGGACACTTCGACATACAATAGCTTTAAAGTGAGTGATAAATATAGATGCAAAATGACCCAGAGTGAAAAAGATGTCTGTACTGTGCGAGGGGTAGCCAAAAAAAGCTGTGGTGCAAAACATGAAGGAAAAATACATAGGGATAACGTAGGGATATGCATTACTGAAATATAAAGAATGCGAAGGGATTTTATTCACAAAGCTCTTTTAGTCAAAAGTGTTTGCTTGAGCTTGTGATTGAAGAGCAGCAAAAATTGCTCATATCCACAATAAAATGATGCTGCAAGTCATCAGAAACCACAAAGTTTTTCATGTTCTGCTTATTTTTTAGTCGCAGTCACTTGATTACATCGTTTAAGAGAGGCTGGCTGTTCTTTTAAATTGCATGCAGTGATGTTTGTGGAAGTAGAGAACTTGACAAAACTGTGTAAAATTACAGAAATATTTTCTTTGTCTCTCTCTTTCTGTCTGGGTGGGTAATGGCCAATTTTCAATTTTGTAGCAATGTACTTGACAGTGGAATGTTTGAATGCCTTTCTGTGCTCACTCATGCAGTATGTATAGCTCCAGAGAGACACAATTGTCAGGAGCTGCATCGGGCAGAACTAAACAGAACAACGTTTGTTGTTGTTTCTGTGAGTAGCAGGTTTATGTTGTGTGCAGGGCGAGAGGAGGGGGGTTTCTGGCTTTGATCCATACAACAAATAGCCAAGCATATTGACACTAACTAAATATGTTCATCGTCAGATGAGGTGACTGATGAATTTGGTGTCTGATATTAAGATGGTTTGATCCATGTCTTTATCTTGTAAAAAAAAAAACATGAGTGCTTCAGCTTGGCGTGTTGAAGATTTGCTAGGCTAATTCCCTTAACAAGCACTCCTTTCCAAATGACTGAGAACTAAGTGAAAATAAGGCAGTTTCTCCTGCAGAAGCAATATCAAGGCCATGGAAATTGATTGGCCCAGTATTGACTGGAGAGAAACTTGTCTATGACTCAGATTGTGCATTATTTACACTTCCTGCTCACGGCAGCTGTCATGGATGTCTCATTGCTTGGATCAAATGGCTTCAAACATAGGGGGTAAAGAATGATGCTGGAGAGAAAAACAGTCATGGAGGGAAAACAATGGCTTTATACAATAATATAGACCTGCTGTAACATGCTGTTTCAAATATTATTTTCCAGTATAGCAACTAGCCAGTCCAGGTAGGGTCATTAATGATGGCCTGAGGCCACACAGAGTTACTTTTTTTCAACCTGTAATCACAGGTTGCCTGTTGCAGCTTAAAAACTTTAATAATTGTACTTGGCCAATGCTCAGCTACTGTTCCGCTAACATCCCTATTCCTTCTTTTTGCCCCGTTGAGACCTTTGAATCTCCCAACAAAATCTGATGACTGACGATGGGAAAAATCTCTTATCGCATTAGTATTAAAGAAAGCTGATGCTATGGCTCTTGAGCTTCTCCAGCAGCGAATGAGCTTGATCAGATTCAGCAGACACAAATGTTCAGTAACTTGATAATTCACTGCATCCTCATGTTTAAGTTCTTATGTTGTATTCTTTTTTGCTATTTGAATTGAGAAAAAAAACAACAATAGTATCTCCACCATTGACTGGCTCCCTCAATTGCAACACCTGACCTCAACCCACGCACACATTTTCTCATTTACCTCTCTTGGTATCTAAATGTGCAAAAATCTGTCAATACAATTAATCTCCTCCTCAGATCCTCAGTTCAAGAGTAAAAGTATTAGTTCTAGAGAAGAGTTGCCTCTGTTAGAAATATTATAGTATATGTCATTTATAGGATGCTAACTATTCATGCATCAATGCAGAACAGGCATTCAACTTCTGCTGCTGGTTGAAATATAGCCAAATGACTACATTAGCTATTTTTGTCCCGTGGGGATTCAACCTAGGAGTAACAACTAAAGGTGTCTTAAAATGTTCTTTCTGTTTTGTTGTCGATATATCAAGCGGAAAATCTTGGGAACACTCATGTTAAGCTATTGTACTGGATTTTCTGAGCTATTTTATGTTTTGTTTTTGTCTTGTACATGAAGTATAAACCACTGCTTTATTCAATTCAATTCAATAAGCTTCATCTGCATGAATGTGTAAATATGTTGCCAAAGCATACAATAACAAATAATACAATAATACTAATAGTAATGAGTAGTAATAATTAATGTGAACCTACAAGTTTGTTAAATGTAGTGGAGTTAAAAGTATCCTTTTTAATTATTGTGGAGTTGAAATAAAAGTCATTTTAAAGGGAACCACTGGAGTAAAACAAAATGTGTCTTAAAATGATGCTCAAATACAAAACTTTACAATACTTTATGGAATCAGTGACTTTCCACTTTTGACAATAAGATTTTTTTTCTGAAAACAAGCTCTCATCCTGTCTGTATTATCCAAAGCACAAGCTGTATTGATCAGAACTACTTTCAGAACAGTTGTCCTGTGATGTGTGTATAACCCAAAGCAATAGGGAATCTGGAAAGAGAGTTTGCTGCTGATTGTTTTGTTTTTTTTAAATGTTTTTCTGAAGCTGAGGTCACAACAAAAAAAACAATTCTATTAACATTTAGTTTGGGATGGAAGCAGAAATCTCAAAAACGGTGTACAAAGCTTTATACTTGGATAGATAGTGGATATTTAAAAAAATCTTCAGTCAGTGGCTGCACCACATTTTTAAATATCAAAATTGTAATGTTAAACAACAGTTTTAATGATGCATGACTCATTTAACAGTGGTGATGTAGAGTCAGCGTGATAAGGTTGAAATGAGTGTGATCATTGCTTCACACATAGACATTTAGAATACTGGCACTGATACCAATAATTGGTGTTAAATGCGTTAAACACATTATTGCAATCGTGTAATATAAGCCATTAGTAGCAGCTGAAAATCATTTGCAGGGTGCTGTTTCGGATCCTGTCTCGTTCCTCTCCCCTCCCATAACTGAAGGTCAATGATGATCGCTGCTGACACAAAGATCACTTGCACTTCTTTTTTTTTACAGTGACAATAGAAAATCAGATGCCACTCCACAATGCCACACACCAACACACACACACACACACACTCCACTGGGTGGTTGTGGTTATGTAGAAGGTCATGTTATAAGGATTACATCATGGTCATTAGCATTTAAACCACTTGTTCAGCACTCAGGCTTATTTGACAGTTGCATCATCATCATCATTATTATCATCATCATCATCATCATCATCATCCTAGGAGCCAGTGTGTAGGCAAAAGCACAGGCACTACGACTACTTCAAGTACTGAACAGTGTATTCCTGTAGTTCCTGAAATGTAAGCGTTTATTACAAATGTAGAAAATATTACGTTTAAATCAAAATGATGTGTGTTGTAATGGCCGTGTCTATAAGTACTTATTCCCAAATATTAGTTTGCCCTTTGCCAGCTTCACAATAAAAGCCCAGACAGTCTGTCCATATTAATAACAGATTATTTGAACACACTCAAGTCACTGACAGCACCCTCTTCCCTCAGCCAATGAAATATAATTAAGAGGATAAGGAATTGATCCTTGATTGTCTGCTCCATTAATATGTATTAATGAGGCCAGTGTATTAAAGTTGGGTTTTTTTTATCAAGAGCTGCTAATGAGTTTTACAAAGATCGATTCCTCTAACGCCAGGGTCTTAAGGCCAAATGTACGTGGGCAGCTCATTTACAGCTTCTGTAAATGAGAAAAAATGTAATTCAGCTACTTATAGCATGCATGTTAAGCAGAGTCTGATAAATATTGATATATATATACTGTATATATATGCATTTGCACATACAGTATGATAACACTGCATTAGCTGTAATTAAATAATCATGGTTTTGATTGTTTTTTAAAATGATCGCTCAATATTTAAATAATTAGAAAATGTTGCCTCAGATGAGAAAGCACTTCAGAGCCAGTCAGGAGTGTGAAGCAGAGCTCGAGGCGTCATTATTCTGCGGTGTGTCTCTTAGCTCTCCAGTGGTCTATTATTTCTGATGAGCTGACACATTCATTAGAAACAGGAAGCAGCAGATGAGGGTAAAGTAAAACATCACACAGCTTAATTGGTGGGATAATGAAAATAAATGATAAAACTCTGCTTCTTCAGGGCTGTGAGGTTCTTTTTCATCTTTTACCTTTAATTCGAACCTCTGCACCTACTTACGTCTGCTGTTTCCACGATCAATTACCGGGAGGAGCATGAAAGGGAAGGATTACAGGTTGGGTGAATATTGGAGTATAAATCTTGAATTAACTTTTAATTCCTTGTGAAGGGCATAACTTCTCCTCAAAGCTTACACTCAAAGCTCTTTAAAAAAAATCTTCCTAATGTTTATTTCAAATATAGAGGATCTTAAGTTAGCATAATGTCTTGTAGAAGTATATCGGTGCTGGATGTTTTTTTTATGCAAATGTATTTGACTCTCATGTTTTCCTCTCAGTTTCTGTGACTACACACATTCTGTAGTCCTGTCTGTGGCTCTGCATGTGGAATTACCTCACAGTGTTCTGTGTTCCTGTGATGGTAACAGGCCCCCCCAGCCCCCCAGACTCTGTGACAGTTGAGGAGGTGACAGACAGTACAGCCCAGCTCGCGTGGAGCCCCGGAAGAGACAACGGCAGCCCCATCACCAATTACCTCATCCAGACCAGGACTCCCTTCACTGTGGGCTGGCAGAGGGTTAACACAGGTAGGCAGCACTTAGAGATGGATTTTCATCCAATAGCACGTGTGATGTTAGTCAGATAATTTGTGGATCCCCTCAGGGAAATTGTCTCACTGCTGGGAGGTCAGATTGTGGGGTCAGCTACAGAAAAAAGGCTCTGGAAACGGTAAGGATTCAGGGTTTTACTCGAGAGAACTAGAGGGTGCTGCTTTTATATGATCGCATTTAAAACCACTTCTTTGACCTTTACACTTTCCTCGGTCACAGCTGAAATCCTTTTCTTCCTCTCAGGTCAGGTCAGTTTGGATGATATTTACCTCCTGTTCCTTTTGAGAGTGATTGAATGTGTTGCAAGTTGCTTTGGGCAACAGGAAAATGGGGGAAAAAATTAATTTATATATTATTTTTAATGTATTATTTGACAGGGACTGTTCTCATTTGTGATCAAATGAATAATATATACAGAGAGCAGACTCCACCTGTGCAGAGGCCACAGTCCTTGCAGCACTCATCACTGGTTCGACTCCTAATAAACAGCCATTGGGTGCATTTCATCCCCCATTCCCCTATCTAAAAAGAACAGTATAGTTCTTGAAAATATCTAGAAAATTTCAGGAGGACTGCACCAGATATTCTCCTGACCTGGATATTCTCCTGACCTGGCTGCACACCTCACATCAGGAGACTATCCCTGTCAGACGGGAGGGAGGGCAGGGGGGTTCTCCTGAGGTAAGATGTGACATATAAAAAAAGATGCTGAAGTAGCGGAAGAAGGGATTCCACTATAAAATGCTATAATGGGAATATTTGCCATCATATCAATGCTACGGAATCACATTATTGACAAAAGAGCGGAGGAGAACATACTGTGGAAATGCAATGCGGCCATTTAATTACGTGCACTGAGATCTTAGCCGTTGCATGCATACAGTCTATGCAATGACTCCAGTCAAAGGATACAAACGTCACCACCCACTCTCACTCGCTCGTGGTGAATTCTCCGGAGAATATCCCGCTGCGTTCTCACAACAGCCCACTTGGACTTGCTGTGGAAAAAATACTTGGGGGCTGGCAGGATAAACTCTGGGTGAAGTCAGTGTGAAAAATGTGTCTGTTTGAGTTCACACACAGCTCCTCCGGCAAATATCAGGAGTTTTTCAGGAATTTTCTGCAAGTGTGAAAGCACTATATGTCACACAGCAGTTTTGCTATAACTGCTACTGAGCAAGAAAGTAAGACAGAGAAGCAGAAGAAAAAGTTAAAGCCAGTTAAAGCTCCTATAATCAATATTTTTCATTAACAAGGGATCAAATGACTGTGTGAAAGAGGTCGCTTGTAATGATGAACCCAAAGATAATTATCAGCCAACTCAGCAGTTGCCCCCCGCTCTCCCAAGCTTTTCTCATCTTTAGTTATATGGTTTAAGGTCTCCATTTATCACTTTCACACATTATTGCCAAAAGCGTTTTGGCTACAGCAACAAAAGGCAGAAAAAAATATCATACTTGGGGTGTGGCCTTGAAACTAAAAGCCACTGGTTGGTTATCTTGGAAGCGCTTTTTGCAGCTAAATAGTCAGATTTTGCCTTAGGAGGTAGTTTAGACCGAACGCGGAGATAATAAAGAAGAGAAAGTTCTAGACTTAAATTCATGATAGCTGACAATATGGCTCCAGACGACTTATTTTGCTGCTCCAAGTTGTTTATGTGTGAAAATAGTCTAACTGGTCAGCTCAGACTTAAAGGATAAATAATCATCTGTAAATGTTGCTTATTTGTTGCGTGTGACTTTTTCCCCAGTGTGGCTGAAAAAAAATGGCTCCCACTGTGTAACTGTCAAAAAAGTCACTGTTGCAGACAGCAGGTGCTCACAGCTAAGCCACTTAACCTACCTTTTGTCCTCTGCATGTCACCCATACTTAGCACAAGTAGCATTTACAGCAAGTGCCCTCTTCTGAGGTTTTACAGCTTGAAGCATCTCCTCACATGCACTTTTGTCTCAGAGTTTATTTTGCAAATTTACGTCACAACACAAGGTAAGGAAGGGAGTGTCTATGGCAAACATTTCAGTCAAATACAAAAAAATGTTTCAGCTTTGTGGTAGCTGCTTAAAGGTATCTTCATTAGGAAGGTCAAGGAGATATCAGGTTAAGAAACTTAAAGTTATTACAACTTTACAATTGTAAATGGTCTTTAAAGGTCACATATTATCCTCCTTTTCAAAGAGTTTAAATTAGTCTCAGAGCTCCCCAAAACATGTCTGTGAAGTTTCTTGCTAAAAGTCCACTCTGACTCTGTATTTTATTATGCATATAAAACCCTCTTTTTCAGCCCTGCTCAGAACAGGCTGTTTCTGTGTCTGTAGCTTTAAATGTAAATGAGCTGTGTCTGACAAGCCCCTCTCTGGAAGGGCTTGGGTGGCTTGGACTTTTTTGCACCATGTCCTATTGTTTACTGTGGAAAGGCATACTCAGAAGGCAGAACAAACACCTAGCCAATGGGAGTGTCATCCACCTGGGGGAGGGGTTACTGCCCTTTGTGATGTCATGAAGGGAAAATCTCCAAACGGTCTGTTTGAGCACACATTTTCTGAGAGGATGAACTTTTCTCATAATTGGGGGTTTGTAGACAGGCACACATATCAGTGTTAGAAAAACATGGTAAATTGTATTGTGCATCATATGTGACCTTTAATGACTGACTTTCTAATTCTAGTCTTCATGATTGGTTTGAATTTTTCAGAAGTGTGTATACATTTGCTTTTCCTGTTGACTTTATTGCATGCACACAGTTGCTCCATGTGTTCTTTATATGCTTTTATGAGTATATACTGCATATTTTCTCTTTTTCTATCCAGTCCCTGAGATAATCGATGGAAACACAGTCACAGCCACTATAGTGGACCTTAATGCCTGGGTGGAATATGAGTTTCGGGTGTTGGCCAGAAACAGTGTGGGTGTTGGAGAACCCAGCCCTGTGTCAGTCAAGACAAGGACAGAGGACGCAGGTATACAATGTACCACCATTCAGCCGTTTTAATCCTTCTTTCTCTATAGAAAATATCAACTATGATCTGCAAAAATACCACCACCATCACTCCTTCTACATCTCTCTGAGGCCTTAAGGGGTTTTTTTTCATGGAGGTCTGAACAAGGTCTGTGTTTTGTAGTTCCTGATGCAGCGCCAGGTGACGTGGGTGGTGGAGGTGGAAGCAGATCTGAGCTGGTCATCACATGGGAGGTAAGTCATCAGTCTTATGTTCTAGTATGTTATTCAAAGTACCCGTAGTTCATCTTTTTTCTCTACTCGAGCGAGGGCACTAAACTTAGACCCCAGTTCTGTTTGCGTGAAGTTGTCATAAATTTGGGGTTAATTTAAGTCTGGAGCTGAAGTCACTGTCATTTCTTAGTTAAAGTGTCTCCATGTAGCACACACAAGCACAACACTAAATCCGACAGTTATTGTCATTAATAAGGCTTTGATCTGCGGTTGAATTTCTTTTTTTCAGCCAAATCCACTGTGCTCATATCTAGCTCTGAAGTAAACCAGTCAGGTAGCAGAAAATAATGTAGATATTCAAGAAGTCATTAGTTTGCTACTGCTCTCTCATTATTTGAGTTCTCTCATTTCATTAAAATTAGAAATACCTTTTCATCCTAAAAGCTGCTCAGACGTTTTGTAATGAGCTTAGTTTTTTTTTAATGGCATTTTACTGCTCATTTCATTTCGTCAGGTGGGTCACAGAAGCAATTTGTGGGTCACACATGTTTTTTTTTTTGTGGTTCCTTTTAGAGCAGGATGGTGGTTGATGTCTGCCCAGACGGGGGTGAATGCGAGTGGTTTGTATATGTTTTAATATCACTATAGTTTTGTGTTTCACTCTCAGCCTGTCCCCGAAGAACTACAGAATGGTGAGAGCTTTGGTTACATCATTGCTTTCCGCGCCTTTGGAGATGTAAGCTGGACTCACGTGGCCACCTCTGCGCCCGGTGCGGCTCGCTACGTGTACCGCAACGACAGCATTGCGCCCTTCTCTCCTTTTCATGTGAAGGTTGGCACTTACAACAGCAAAGGACAGGGTCCCTTTAGCCCTGTGGTCACCATCTACTCTGCAGAGATAGGTAAGGGAGTGAATATGCGTGGGATTTCTTTTGCAAAGGCTACAAAGCTTTTTCTGTTTCTGAAAGGGACAAAGATCATGAAAGAGTTTTTTATTGCATCCTGTAGACCCAGAGCCCAGTATTTTATCTTTTTGAATCACAAAAAAAAGATACATGCAGGAAAATAAATCTGTGGAAATCATTCATATGTTAAAAAAGGGTAGAAAAATGGGGAGTAAAAGTGCGACAAATTTATCCAAGGGGAGGCAGATTGCCTCCAAATATCAGCACTCTTGAACGGCTGCTCCAAAGTGAAAATCGCTTGGCATTTAGATCTATGCTACCTCTTGCCATGCTGAGAGGGGGTCAGTGTTTAGTGTAGTGCTGGTCTATTTACCAGCAGCACCTGTGTGTGATGATTCATCCATGTAGAGATCAACAAGAATGCCGCACTGTTACAAATGTAAAATGTGAGGAGATTTGTTCTGCTTGCCTCTGTGCCGTTGAAGGAAAAGCAGCACTGCTCAGTTTCCTGTTGTCTGTTTTCAGAGCCAAGTGGGATGCCAGCGGGAGTTTGGGCCAGAAGTGTCTCAGCCTCAGAGATTGAGGTGAATTGGCAGGCTCTCTCCTTCACCCCTGAAAGGGTTCTGGGCTATGAGGTACATTTTTACCCTTTTAAATGGAAATTGAAATCACACACACACACAACAGGCTTCAAATGCTAGTCATCACCCCTGTCGTACCTCAAAGCTGACACTTCCAAACTCACCGTCGCTATGGTAATGGCTGTTTCAGTTGGGCGACTGTTATGGGCAAAATTATACAGTTCTTTGTCCCAACACGACAGGAAAACATGTCATAGCGTTTTCAAGAGAACAAAAGAAAATTGCCTGTCCACATGCCTTTTCAGGTTGCTGTCAGTTACAGGATATCATGATACAGAGCTCCGTGATAGTCTGTGCTGCAAAACATACCAGACCTCTTGAAACTAAAAACTGTGATTATACCAAAAAACGGTCTAATGTTGTTTGTTTTTACAGTCTTACATTGCAGCATCGTGGGAATCGATCTTCAGCCTTGTAATTGTTCCCTAAATAGAATATGAATATTAAAATATTACATTTCCAACCCCTTAAAGCTGATTTTATTCTATGTTTCCCTCAAAAACTGGGACAGCCTGATTGCCTTACCTGCACACTTTCCACTGAGTAATGAGGGTGATCAAAGGGCTTTAAAGTACGATGCTGTTGTCGTTCCTTTGATCAATAAAAGCAACGTTGCTTCAATATATCCATCTGGGAATGGATATGTAAAATATCCAAGTAGCATTAGGGATCCCAACACCAGCTGATCTTTTATAATGTTGACAGAAGGGTGCATGGGAGGGGGATAGATGTCATTTTTGAGGTTTTATGTTTGCAGTTTGACAGTCATGAGGAGCGATAACAAAATAGTCCCTTATGTTATGAATGCTATGTTTAGTCGCTGTTTGAACTGTAATGTCTTTTTTTTTTTTTAAAGTGCATTTTAATAAGCTAGATTTTAATCAGCAAACGATAGATATTACAGGCTTTATGAGGCGACATAGATTTATGCATGCAAGTCCTGAAACGATCAGACAAGAAATCCATTAGTCCAGCAGGAAAAAAAAAGGTCTTGACTTTTAATTTTGATAATTGACGAAATGTTTCAGTAATCAAGCAAAAATTAAAAGAAAACTGGTGCTGACTGCAAACATGTGAGCCTCTTCTGCTTTCCCTTTTATATGATTGTAAACGGATACATGTGTTTCCACTGCTGGTTCGACAAATGTTGATGGCTTTTGGAAATTGTAACATCCATTTATTTCAACTATTGGCATTTTAATGACATTGTTTTAAGATGGCTAAAAAGAAAACTGTTAATCATGTTGGCAATAGATAATTCATGACTTCCTTTTTGTATTGGCTTTAAAGTAAAAGTATCCTGAGTTGTAAAAGCATGTTAACAAAAGGCTTTGTGATATCAGATCAAACATCGTCCTACAAAGATAAAAGAAAACTGTGATCTGACTTAAGAGGATATACCCAGAGGTGATCATTTATCAACAGCACGTTTCTCTCAAGACATCAAACACAACTACAAATACCCTGTTGTGTTGAATTTGATTTAAAAAAAACAGAATGCGTTCTTGTCTTCCTTTTTGTGTTGCCTTCAAGAGAATTCGTCCTTCTAACGTTGACATTTTTGCTCAAATCCAATTCGACATGATATGCTCTCTGTCTCAAACAGGTGGTGTACTGGGAAGACGACACTAAACCTGAAACCATGGGGAAGGTTAGGGTGCCCTGGAACCAGACGTCGGTCACAGTGAGCGGCTTGGCGGGAACCACGCAGTACTTTCTGACAGTCAGTGCCTTCAACACAGCTGGCACCGGCCCCTTCCTCCCCGCAATCAATGTCACCACCAAAAAGCCACGTAGGTTTTTGCATCCAGATGATCTGCTGCCCAAGTGTTTGATTTAGACTCAAACGATGAAACTTCAGATTGATGCAAACCCAAATGCTTAATAAATGAAGCAGTAGAGGGAGTGCTGTTGTCCTGAATATCAGCACAGATCGGATTTAGTTTTAAGAAAATAAGAGGGGTGCTAAGTACTCAGTATTACAGCTCTACCTTACGTGTGATATTGCCTTTATTCAACAGTTCTTCAATATAAATTAGTATACAGTAATCACGTTATTTTGTTTATTTAAACAAATATCTCATGTATCTTTAAAGCGTCTTTCCTTTACTATATAAACACATCTGTATAATGTACTCTATATATCAGCAATAATGGAATGCCTCCTGTCCAATCACATAGATCAGGCACTAATTGTTGTATATTTATCTTTACATCATACAGCCCCAGCGCAGCCCCCACTGAATGTAGAATGGACCCTTGTTGGTTCTCAGCTTTCTCTCTTCTGGGAGCCTGTGGTGGCGATGGAATCTGAGTCAGAAGTTACAGGATACCAAGTGAGTTTTACATCCTCACTATGACTCACAGTAGCAGGTTTCAGTCTGAGTGAAAGCTTAGACCTTTCCTGTTTTTGGGTCCGCTGTAAGCTGTCAGAATGTAACATTAAGTGTTTCCAATTTGTCACCCAACCATTCAGTTGTCATACAGGAGACAGAGACACAATGAGGTGAACACTCTCAAAACAGCCAACTCAACAGCGAGCTGACTCTCCCTGAAGAAGATGACGAGTACATCATCCACATTCGGACACTGAGTGAAGGAGGGCTCGGCCCGGCCTCCGATCCTATACGAATCCACCAACTAAGTAAGCTTGCTGACAGTTTTACGAGTATTTGTGGCTAATAAAGGAAGCTATCATGGAAGAAATGTAAGAAAAAAACATCGTTCACAATTTACAGTCTTTAGCCGTTGAAAAATGCTGATTGAAGGCTGTTGAAGAGAAACACAGACAAACAGGACCTCAGCCTCTCAGAACGTCTTAATTATTTACTCACCCTGTAAATGAAGTCACTTAGCACACTTAAACCTGACAGAGACATTTTGTCCTCAATTGACTCACCATTACCCATGTCCCCAGCCATCCCTGTTTGGCTTTTCCTCGACATATATTTTGCTGAAATATGCAGCACGCTCCGTCTCTGTCACAGAGGTTGACTTCCACTTTTACTAGATGCTGTTACTGTCCTGTGGGACTCCAGCGGGGGGCTCTTCTACTGCTCTAAATGCTAATTTGCATTGTTGATATTCTGTGTTGAAACCCTGAAAACAGCACTTCTGAGAGATAGAATTCCACGCTGGCACTTCTTTTAAATATCGTTTGAAAAAGAATGCTGCTATATTTTTTTTAGAGATAGCGTTAAGAAAAGATTTGGGCAAAACACATTAGCAGGCACAACATAGTGCTGTGTTTATAGAAGCTACTAGCTGCAAAACATTAAAGGTGGTGCAGTTTTGTTCCCCTCATCAATTATAAATATAAATGTATTTTCCAGGAAAGGGTTTATAATTGGATATTGTCAAACAGGAAAATATGAAGTGATCTATAAGAGCTATTTTTACTCTCTTAAATCATACATGAGAAACTTGTTCATCCGGCTTCTTGCCCCTTCACAACTGGCTCCCTTCATACCTCTTTCACTGACGGTTGCAGATATAAGGAGTTTATGTTGGAAATTTGAGTAACTTTTATTGTTTTTTAACAGGAAAAGCTTGTTAAGATTGGAACTCTCTTTTTTAAGAGTGTCTTAGTCAAGACTGGCAGCAGCAAAGTTGACACATTTTCCAACAAACACAGATCAGCCATTCATACAAACAGAATTCAAGATGGGCAGGGGCGCTGGTAGCCTAGTGTTTAGAGTGTGTGCCACATGTATGGAAGTTATAGTTCTCAAAGCGGGTGGCCCTGGTTCAAATCCAATCTGTGGCGCCTTTCAAGCAAGTCATTCCCCACTCTCTCTCTCTCTCTCTCTTGCTCTCTCTCTCTCTCTCTCTCTCTATCTCTCTCAATTTTTGACTCTATCTACATTCCTGTCTCTAAATAAAGCTGTAAAATGCCCCAAAATAAACCCTCAGAAATAATTATTCAGGATGCATAACTACAACACAACAAAAGGCATGATATACCAGGTGAAAACCAGAAAATGTGTGTTGACATCAAAAACACATCACAATATCTACAGCCATATGTGCCTCACTGCTAGCCATTTAAAATGATGTCAAAGCATCCAGTGAGACCAGTTCATTAAGTTATTACAGGTCTTTTTGTCATTCGTTCCTCGAAAAAGGAGCAGCAGTAACTATAGGTCTATTTGTTTGATGTTGGTTTAGAGATACGAAAGACCTGAAATAGACTTATAATTGAGAACATGTCAGGGTTTTAGTCTACTTGTGAAAAACGCAGACCATCCAACATGTGCATAGAAGGGAAAGAAATGACAAGAGATGCAGGAACATTCTCTTGTGGGCGTAAAAGAATGGCAGGAATTGATTTAAAATAAAAACCCAGTTTAATATCTATTCTAAGACTCATTATGTTTGTCTTAATGTCATTCTGAATTTTGACAACTTGTTTTCAGTGTTAAAATGCAGAAAACTGCTGCCATGAGTCTGCTCCTCCAAACAGGTTTAAGGTTGACGTGGTATTTCTTGTTCCAGGTATGAGTGCCCGTGGATCAAGAGCCTGGAGCGTGGACATCTGCCCCCTCTCCATTTTCCTTGCCGTCGCAATATCAGCATTCAGGTCAACGTCGTGACACAATGAGAAACTGTTTTTCAACCTTCCTATTGGTATTTTTTCTTGAATTGGTGAAAGTTGCTGATTTTTTTTCTTTCCAGTTTTTTTTTTGGAGGCGATAATATAGTATTTGAAGGTGTAAGTTTGCGGGTATGAGGCAGCACAAGTGTGGAGCGTGCTGTCAGACCTTATTATTAACGGTAAACGCTTGAGCTTTTTTTTTTTTTTTTTTTTTTTTTTTTAATAGGTCTGTTTTGACATATCTGCCGGTTGGGAACGATGCTCCATTTCAGCCCTTTTTTTTCGAATGATACAGATGCCTTACTTCCATTCATGTGCCAAAGTAGTTTCAGCCTTCTTGTTGTAATTGCAAATAGCTACATGCTTTCTTCATCATTTTATTCCTCACAGTTTCTTATCAGTGAATGTCTCAGAGAATCTTGCAGAGGGTGAAGTTAAGAAGTTGTATTTTGGAATATTTCTCCTTTTTTTCCTCTCCACGTCTGATTTGGCGAGTCGGAAAACATGTTCATTCACCCGTGCCTGTGCCTTTGAAGATGCTTGTAACGCCATCACTTATAGACACTAGTCCATGATACTTGGTGTTTCGAAAAATACTGCAGCCAACTTTCTTCTTTATGTGTTTCTTTAATAGTTGGTTGTGTCCAAGTAGAGACTCGTAAAAAAAAAAAGAAAAAAAAAAGCTCACAGTGCCAGTGTTTGCCACTTTTATCTTTTGATAGTGGAGAGCTGAATGTACCATGAGGGCTCCTACAGCTTTTTAGGCCTCAGACTGGTTATTGTGATAGGTTGTTGATTGATAGATCTGACTTTACACTGCATTCACACTGCTGGCATCTGTCTGCACACAGCAGTAGTGGGAGAGTAATACAACTGAGAGTATTTCTTTCAACACAATATTCTTGAACCATCAATCGACAGAAAATAATACGACAACAAATTAAGTCAATAATCAAGGGGCAAAAACATTCTCAACAAGGTGGATGTTTTGCATGTTATTGTCACTAATCATTTTGCCTCCAAAGAATCCCATTCATACATCTTACCACTGCCACATCCCCACAGACTAACGATATCAGTTATTCAGTTTCCTATGTTACTTGTTTGATCTCACCTTTCCTATGGCATGAAATATAAAGTACAGTTTGATAATAAGATCGCAAACCACTTTCATATCTGTGCATTCATCCTGGAGCAGGTATCAGTAGTCGGTGCTTTGCATTAAAAGACCGGAAGCAGGTAATCTAGCTAGTCTGACTCTGTCTAGAAGTTCACAAATGGATCAGCAGTCATCTTTAAAATCAATATTCAATACTCGTATCTTGTTTCTTTGATCTGTAAGTCGCCATTATACTTCATCAGAAGTGTGTGTTGGGTGGTCAAACTGCTTCGGTTTAAATATTTTTGTAACTTTCCTAAAAAAGACAATCAGACCATCACAGCCAGTTTAAGCCATGATTGTTGGACAGGTGTGTTGATGTGAGAGAGTTAACAGGGATATAACCACCTCCTTATGCTCACTCATGTATTTCTTACATAAGCATAGTTTAATAATACCTTTCATTGATAACCCTCTGTTGTGGCTTCTGGAATCGTCTAAAAATCTCACCGTCCAATATCATCTTAGTCTACAAACTGCTTATTTTTACCTTAACCTGGTCCTAAGTCTTCTCGGTTGATGCACAGACATGAGACAAGTCAGATCCTAGTGTAAAATAAAGTGGATAAAAGCAGTTTAATCTTTGATTTCAGTCATTTTTAGCCATTGGAAACGATAGTCTGACAACATAAAATGGGCTCATTTACTAGCTGAAGTCTGAGCTTTCAACCTCATCAGCATCAGTAAATTGAGTTTGTAATGGATAACAATGTTTCATGCTTTACTCTCAACAACTCCAACACAACTGTGTGTGCAAACATCATAACCTGATGGAAAATGGAAAGATAATCAGAATCAGAATGTTAAATTCAGATTGAGTTGAGATTTCTTTTGGCCAAGCAATTTATTTAAGTGTGTGCATATTTTTTATAATAGCAAATAAAGAGGAGTGTGACGAATGTCATGTTATCTGTCCAATTACCAAACAACAACATGCCATCCAATAAGAATCAAGAATTCTCTTTGACATAGTATATTATCTTTTGTTTGTTTTTAGCAGTTGTTGGTTAGATTGAAAAAAGACACTCTAATAGAAAAAATCGATATTTTCTCCATTTGAATTGCTAGATCGACTTGTAATGATTATTGGCAGTTTCAGTCTACATCCATCTGAGCAACACCCTAGTTAATGTGCATCATCAGCCATTGCAGTCGAGACAAGAGGCTTAAAGCGCTGCCAATTGTGCCAGCCGGATAATTGAAATTTAGCCACCAGCTTAGACATTATTTGGCAAAATGTTGGGTCAGCTGTGTTTTAATACTTTGTGAATCTGTCCTTTCTTGTCAGTTGTATTGGCTTTTCTTATGTGCTATGTGTTGTCATTGTTTATTTATGTATTTCAGTGAAACCCCACTGCTCAGGTATTCAGACCTGCTTCACTCTACTGTTCGATAGCCCTACAGAGGTCAGAGCAGATAGACCACAAATCTGTCGGTGCACGCCCTAAGGGTCTATTTAACCGTCTGACTTGACGAATAGAAAGCCTGAAATGTGCCATGATTAAGCAGACATTAAAATATCTTAGTAAATTAGAGGTAGCCTGAGGGGCTTCTATGGGAAAGGGCATAGGAGTAATGGTACTAATGACGCCCACCCAAGATTAATACATCAGGATTTAGGAAAGACTAAATCAGGACAATGTCATCGAGATGAAACCAGGCAGATTTAAGGATGTGTGTGTGTGCACACGTGTGGTGTGTCATAGAAAACTGTCTTCAACAGGATGATTCTGCTATTTAGGGGGAAAAAAGCTTAAATGCATTTTTTGTAATTGAACATGTTGAGGGCTTTGAGTTTCTAACCATGCTCAGACATTGAAAGGAGTTACACAAGGTTAATATTGGCGGTAGATAAAATAAGTTTAGGTTAAAATGCTGTTTTTCTATGAAATTATCATAGATTGCAAGTGCAAAGGAAACAGAGGACAAACGCTCCAGAATCCAAGGCCAGGTCAGGTGCACTTTGCAGAGTACAGTTTGCATCCGATAAAAGGTTGTCCTCCACGAAATGTTAATAACTGTCTGAAAGCAGTCTTTGAATCTTGTTTTTGTGGCTTTACTTGTGGTTAATCTGTACTCATTCTTTCATCACAGAATGTCATTGTTAAGCTAACAAATGTTTACACGGGAAACGCATCTTTCTGGCTGATTTATCTATTTCATGAACGGAAAAAAGACTACATTACAACAGGCTTTTTGTGTCTTTGGTACATAGAAGCATTGCCAACCTCTTTGTTTTGTAATGTATCAGTACTGTGGAGAATTTGAATTGATTTTTTTTCTTTTTTTAATGTTTGATATGAATCCTGATTGTTTATTTTAATTTTTCTCTGCTGCACAAAGGTCAAGTGTTGCTTTAAAATAATGCTCAAGAGCCAGTATTGGCCAATCAAAAAGCCAGTACAGTGAGATCTATCATGCCTTCATACAGTATTCTGTACATACTGTGTGTATTTTGTTGTGATTTGAAGCAACACCTGCGACTGGGAGACCGAACTGTGGTGTCCTACTTCCCAATTGTAATTCTCAGTCAAACCCAGAATCTGAAAAATACATGAGCAGAGAGCAACATTTCTTAGCAGCTGCTATCACACACAGCCTTTTGGTGCAGTGACACAAACACTACCTGTTACAAGGTAGTCAGCCAATGCACAGTAGATTATACAAGTGCTACTATCTACTAGTACTCTTTGTCTTTTTTACCAATTCAACTTTACAATTTTCTTGCTACTTTCAAGCTAAGAAAAGGCAGAATCGATCAGAAATTAATACAAAAATTTAAAGATTCTATTACGATTGATAAAGAAATACAATTGGGCTCTGGGTGACAACGCTTGGCCTTTCTGTTGTGACTCCTCAGTATTTTGATGTCCGGGTGATCTCTGTGAGATCGTGGCAGTAATGTTTTCACATTGAAAAGTCATCAGCTGATCTTGAAATGCTGAAGCTGTGCATGTATGATATTGTTTGGTGCATTTGTGTTTTCTAAATGAGGGACTTAATAAAAACAATTCACTGAGGATGTAATCTCCTTTGGATTTTTTTGAATTATGTGTGCCACTGTGTCATTTTCAGCATCAGCAGTTTTAGTGTCTTTTACCGCAGAAAGAATTTGAGTGGCGCCTCGGGGCACCATCAAAGCTATAAAATGCATAACATTATGAAATTGCATAAATGAGAGCAAAATGAGGCATAAATGTCCTATCTAGTGGATGAAGAACACATTCGCAGAGGGTTTTTGCTGCATGAACTAATTGGTTTATTAGGCTATATAATAAGTAGGCTATCATTACAAAGATTTAAGCAGTTTGCTTTAAAAAAAAAAAAAGAAAACTTAACGCAAATGTTCCAAAACAAGCATAAAGGAAATTTGCACTGTACCTCATGCAATAGAACACTGTATTTCTTTGGATTATTATTAGAGCATGCATCTGCCGAAGTTCAGATACCCTCCTCTAAAACAACGGAATGACATGGAAAGCTACAGTGAAATATTGATTGAGGCAGTGTTGCAGAGATGCTTTTAAGATAATAAGAGGGAGAGGACCCTGTGAAGAGATCAATAGGAAGGAGAAGTGAAGAAAAGAGAGGTTTCTCCCTACACACCACAGATCATCCATAATGAGCTGCTGTGTCAATACTTCAGCAATGGCTCTTCACATGCTTCTGACCACGGAATCACCACACCAGGATACTGTAACTTCTTTTAACACCACACTCTAAATGAAGGGTATTTATGTATAAAAAAACATCTCTATTACTGATAACTGCTCAATTCTGTGGATAAAGATGATTCCTACAGAGATATAGCCTCCGACATGATTGGTGTATATCACCTCTGAACATTTCTCCGCAACACAAGTGCAGATGCTGTAGCTTAAATGATGCAGGTTGCAAATGTCAATACTGACCCCTCCTGGTATCAGCAAACTGTTGCAACCCCCTGGTCAGGTTGCATGGGTGAGCCAACCAATGGTTATAAGGTGGTGTCTGCAGTGACACTGCATTGAATGGGCACATTGATATTCACAGCCATGTTTTTGGAAAACTTGCAACATTCTTGACATATCTGGGTATCAATCGACATCTGATTTCACACCCAAAAAAAAACCCTCAGAATTAAACAAAGACAATATTAAATGTCTCAGGTTTCTAGAATTGAAGTTGACATTTTGGGAATTAGCTATGATGTGCATTTTGGTATTTTAAACCTGCAGTAATATTTTAATAAAATCTCAACATGGTGAAAATGTATTCCGCCCTGCTCCCCTGATACGACCTGTTTCCTCCTCACCGTTGGGTGGCGCTGTCGTGCTCTCAGCTTCTATCGCAGCAAAAGAAAACATTGAGGAGAGAGAGAGAGAGGACGGTGGGGGGAGGTGTCACTTCCTGCGTCTCACATGTACACAACCAGATGATGGCTGCTGTAAAGAAAAGTGATTCCACTATCAGTAGCCTTAAAGATACAAATGCAGACACCAACGACGAGGAGAACAACGAGCTGTGTCCCGGCTTCAAAGACGTAGACGCCTTTGTTAAAGTGAGTGAACTAACCTGAAAGTGGACGCAGTTTTTTTGTAGTTCATGCTAGCAGTCACTTGGACAACGTGGACGTGCGTGTTTATTACAAGCCAGACACAATTTCAATTTGGTATTCGACAGAAAACATGCGAATATATCTGTTTCTTACGGACTCGCTTCTTGTTTGTCACAGTAATTGGTAAGGTTGTGGTCAGCGACACTAAACTTGAGCTTCTGTGGAGCTCTTATTTGACTTGAGCGCATGTCACGGTTAGATGTGTGTGTCGGTAGTTCATGAAGGGTCGTAAGAGAGGAAGATAAGAAGGTACATATCGAAATATTGTATATTATGTCAGTGATATTTAAAATTGCTCCTTGCTCCCAATCTATGCTAGTTAGCTTAAATGAAGAAGAGCAAGCACACTTCTGTATTTAAAATACTCTCTTAAGATATCCAGCTAACTATATATTATTTATTTGTTAAAGATGAATACCTATACCTAAGTTCAACTGTATAACCACAATGTATCACTTAAAACAGGGTTTCTATTTTTAAACCTGGTGGTATTCACATTTACTTTTAAAGAGTAGTTACTGGCATTTTTTTTTTTTTTTTCATTTGTTTAAATCCTAATTATTACATAAATGTGATTAAGAAGCATGACTAACACATCAGCCTGTGTCTTCTCTGCAGTATGGATTGGGTGCTGTGTTATCTGCCACTAAGGCGTCCGCCGCCTTGCCACAAGCTGGAGATGAATATGATTTCTATCGGAGCTTCCCCGGCTTCCAGGAGTTCTGTGAAAGTCAAGGGGATAAGCTTTTACTCTGGTAAGACTCACGCCTGTCTCTGCTGATGTCTCACTTCTTTTTTTTTACCTGTCACAATCTAGACAAATGTGTTTGGATGCTGAGTGCAAGGCAGGTTTGTGATATTGAAAGCAAGCCTCACAGAGCCTTATTTTAACATTTAAACAGACGATTGTGTTTGCTGAATAATCTGTCACACTGTGATACAATAAATGAATGCCTCTCCCTGTTTCTCTGTGTTAGCATGAGTCAGATAATGCAGCACCACGGCTGCAGATCCCACATGAGAGACCGGAACAAGCTGACAGGGGTGGAGGAGCGGTTTGACTTGGTTGTGGACTCAAACGATGTCATTCTAGAAAGAGCGGTATGGCCAACAGCTGTGATGATATACCAATTTATAATGAAAAGGCCTTTGCAAACCAATCAAGCTTCTTCTTTTTTTTTCCTGGTTCTAGGGGATTCTTCTTGATGAAGCTGATGGGGTGAACAGGAGCCAGCAGCCTGTCATGCCTGCAGGGTTTCAGCCTCCAAAAATCGTTGTTTCCAGCTGGAATCGCAAGGTTGGCTAATTAACCTGTCAGCTCATATACTGAAGATGCCAGTTTTATGGCCTGAGTTCAAGCTTTCTTTATTCCAAACAGTTGATAAATAGTTTAACTGGTATTTCATGCCTTTTGCTTTATTGATCAGGGTTTAGGCTCTGGCAGTCGTTCAGAGATGTTCCGACTGCTCCACGCCAAGAATGTTGCGAGGCCTCAGCTTAAATTCAAGGAAAAAATCGACAACAGCAACACACCATTTATTCCAAAAATCTTTATCAAGCCCAATGCACTGAAGCCTCTTCCTTCATGTAAGACATCCTTTTTCTACTCATGTTCTTTTTTTTTTTTTTTTTTTTTTTACAGCTGTTGTTTTCATAACCTTACTACCAAACCACCTATTGACATTTGTAAAACTTTGCTTTTTTGTTTTCCTATTGTAGATTTCACCAACAAACAAATCCGAAAGCAGAGACCTGAGGATCTTGATGTTCCAGCTGCCCTGGCTGATTTGATTCACCAGCAAAGGACTCAGGAGCACGTTGAAGACATGTAAGACTTTTCCTGTATTTATATTTAAAAGTTTGTCTTTATGTTTGTCTCATTGTCCATTTAAAACTTCTATTATTTATTCATGTAGGTTTGCACACCCATACCAATATGAGCTGAATCATCTTACAGTTCCAGAGAGCCTTCTGACTAAGCCAGAGCCCCAGGTATGTAATGGTGATTATATAAATATGACCTGCTAACTGTTGGTTGAGCCTATAGACTGTTAAAAAAAAAAAAAGAAGCCAAAACATTTAGAGCACCCATTTCTGTCTTGCTGCAGTATTGGTCTTTACCCTGCCTCCTCCATGTTAATAGATGGAACATAGTTCAGACTATAATATCAGGGTTCAGGTCATGTGATTTTTCTCCAACATGGTTTCCATCATTAAAGAAAGTTCATATCTTGCTGATTTTAAGTGTTCACTTCTCTGAGAAGGAGAATGGGGATGTGACATCATGATAGACAGCTGTGCTGGCTTCACCTCTGTGTAATAGGAAGAGTTTGAGACGCATTCAGGTCCCGACTAAATGTGTCATTCGGGATTATTTTTAGATGTACAAACCAATAGCTGATACCAAGTGCTCCTTCATCGACTCACTGGAGGATTTGGTCGCTCTGAATGAGAAGCTGTGCAAATTGTCTGAATTTGCAGTGGACCTCGAGGTAAGGGAATAGAAAAAGTTCCTCTGATTCCAATCATTTTGTATCAGAAAGGCATTGACATATTTCTGTGGAAAAATGATGTTGTTAAGACCGGTATGTTCTTGCGAATGAGCAAATGAAGTGATTTTCACTCTGTTTTCCATCTCAGCACCATTCCTACAGGAGTTTCCTCGGCCTCACTTCTCTGATGCAGATCTCCACCAGAGAGGAGGACTTCATCATCGACACCTTGGAGCTCCGCAGCGAGCTGTACGTCCTGAACGAGGCGTTCACTGACCCAGCTATCGTCAAGGTAATAGGACCACTCCTCAAAGCTTTTGTTCTCATTTCCTTTCTATTACTTTCACTGTCTAAAAGAGAGGATGAGTAAGTGTGTCTGATCAGACTTGTTTTCTCGTGGCTGTTTTTTTCTTTGCTTACCTTTGTCCAACTTTAGTTTTGTGTCGCAGTCTCCGCCATTGTCAAATTCACAAAGCAAATACACCACAGCCCATATCAATTTAACTACTTGTTACAAAACTAAGACGAAGTTCAAGTATGTCAGTTGTAAAAGCTCATTAGCAGCCGAAAATGTGGTAGTTGTGTGCATACAGGTGTTTTTCAGAACTTGACGATCCCCTTGGCTTTATAAATAAAATAAATAAAAGTAAAATAAAAGTGAGCATATTTTAAAGAAAAAACGGTCGGATTGTGTGAACACATGTTCCTCACACTGGATTGGTTTGAGTTGTAAAGCCGTGTCGTCATATCAACATATTTCACAATTAAACTGACCTCAAGGAGATCTTTATTTAATCAAGCAGATGATATTGAAGATGGCTAAAGCTTTCTAATAAACATATTACACCCAAACCTTTTTATCGCCCTCTGTTGGAATGAGTAGCTACAAGAATACAAGAACATCTTCACAAACTTTAGTAACAATAACTTG